AACTTTCTCACTCTAACCGTGTTTCTTAACTTTTCTTACACAGTCTTCATTTTGTTAGTCTATGTTATACTACCTTCAGACAATCTAAATTGAGCAGACCCTGCATTTGAAATGTGATCATCAGATTTCACTTTGCATGTATCTCCCCAATGTTAGTTATGAGGGTCTATATTTCCTAACTGTAAAACTAAAACTAACAATACTCAGAAAACCTATATAATATTTGTAAATTGGATGAATATCCTTAACGTGGTGGCTACACTCCCGTACCTTGCAGTGAGCAAATAACTTGCTGTAGTTCACCATAAGCAAATACAACTTCTACACTAAAGTGCCCTGAAATCTTCCTTTTGCTTTAAAAAATTATAGGAAAATAAGAAAACTCAGAGAACTCTTTTAGCCAAACTGAGTGAATACCTGTTAAAATGCCATCAACACCCCTTAGGCCTCATTTCCTTAGTAAATCTGAAATTTACCAGTGAAGTATTTCACAGGGTATGGCAGGAGTGAAATCATGACTTTCCAAGGCCAAAACAAGCACTCTAAAATTTAAGTCCAAAAGGGAAAAATGAAAGTTTCTTTTATGTTAAAACATTCAAATCCACTTATTCATCTACTATTACTCCAGGAATAAACGTTAGGATCAAAAAACAGGGAAAACAGGAAGAGAGTTGTCTTTTAAAAACACCTAAAACAGGTCAGTCCAGAGAAAATATCACCTCTTTTCAAAGAAGGAATTTCTCCAAACTTAATTGCTTTCTTCTCCTCCAGATAGTCTGCTGAGAAGGCTGGCTCACCTGGCCATTTCTCTTGCTTTTCTGAAAGGATATTTCTGAAAGATGGCTCAGAGAGCTATTTGAACTTATTATTACCCAATATTCAAAATGTCTACTGCTGACCTTCATGCAGGACAATGCTTAGACACAGGGGATACATGGCTGAGTGGCTTAGAAGAAGTTGATTCGTAGCAAGCTCAGGACACAACCCCACTTGTCCAGTTTTTTAAAAATTCACTGTCCAGTTTTTTTAAAATTCACCGTCATAAAATCTTATTTTTACAAAATAATCCATCCATGTTAGCTTTTGCTAGTGCAACACATTAATTTTAAAGAATTTGGAACATAGAGAAAGGGCTTTTTTTTTTTTAGCTAAAGTGGATACTAGTAGTCAAGTAAATAAGGACCACTGTAGTTTAGTGAGAAAGTCAATATGGATTCTAATAAAAATATTTTTCCTACATAATTTTAAGAAAACCAAGATCTTGAAAGGCTATATAAATAGACAAGTGGGCGGGGCGCCTGGGTGGCTCAGTCGAGTGTCTGACTCCTGATTTTGGCTTAGTTCATGATCTCAGGGTCGTGAGATCAAGCCCCACCTCGGGCCCCATGCTCAGCGCAGGGTCGCTTGTCCCTCTCTCCCTGCTCCTCCCCCTGCTCTCAAAAAATAAATAAAATCTTAAAAAATAGACAAGTGGGGATTTTTTTTTAAATAATAAAATGATGTCTACTTGTTAGTAAATTGGAAGGAAACAGAGAAGCGAGCTGCCTGCAGTCTACTGAAAGAAGTCTATTGTACCCCTTACAAGGAAATTAATGAGTAATATTTAATTAAGAAGTTGTGATTGAAGATTTGCTACGATTCATGCCAGACATTCCCAAAGGGAAGGGAACTTGGAACTAAAAAGGACTGAGAGCAAAGAAAACAAGTGAGTGTGGAATACAAAAACGGGCCACGGAGGAGCCTGGGACCTCCGAGACATGAGAACAGAGAGAAACAGGCTCTGACACTTGCAAATAAGGAAACAGTGATGGAGAACACCGCTGATACTGACAAGGGATCAGAAAGGCCAGCATCAAAAAATGTGGGGAATGTCTATTTACAGAAAAATATTTTTGGTTCTAAATAGACAGACATCATTGCAGGCTTTGAAAAATTCAAAAGCCTTTTGCTTCAGATCTCTGCCTTCTATTCCCTCCCAAGAACGAGTGGCAAGTCAATTCCAACTCCTCATTGTGCAGAGAAGGAAACGGAGCAAAAGTACGTGGGATAACGTGCCCACAGTTGAGACAACCACAGTCGGAAGCTGTCTGGCAGGGATGTTCCTGATGCAATGTTCCACCCTGATTTTTGGGGGGGGGTTGGGTTAACAAAAGTTTTATTTCTCACTCCCATAAAGCCCACCACAGGACTGTGGGATTCTCCAAAACAGCTGCTCTCCATGTTGGGGACTCAGCATTCCAAACTACTCTGAGTTTCTGGCCTCTTTTTGTGTACGGGCCTCCACGACTGAGCGGGAAGAGCCCTGGAGCCTTACACCAACAGATAAAGGCTTCAGCCCAGAGGTTTCATGCTGATTTCAACACCAACCAATTCTCAGGACGTAAGGAGTTCTCCAGAGACTTTAAAGGAAAAAAATTAGACGATAGATACAAATATACAATTTCAAAAGGAAGAAATAAGTCAAGTGGATAACAAAATTACTTGACTTATACAGGCTATTTAAAAAAAAACAACCACCAAAAGACCAGATGAGATTTTTCCAATCCCCTATCCTGACAAACATGAACAGATGAATACACTGGTACCAGGGACAGTGTGCAGCACGAACAACCATCCGCACTGAACAGTCCGCACACGTAGACGGAAGTATGAAAGGGACCATGTGACGTAGAAATGGGCCAGTTACAGGCATTTACCTTACCTGGATTAATCAGAAATTAGACCATAAATAATGCCGGCTGTAACAGAAAATATGTATATTGCTCTCTGGCCCCAGTTCCTGGCACAGAGCTCCGGAAACCCTTGTAATTTCCTAATTGAGAGAAAACACTAGAAGCATCTTTTGTTCTAAAATTTCGCCTGTGACCCTGATTCTGACCTAGGGCTCCTAAAACCCCTGTAATATCCTGGGTGCTAGGAGTGTCTTTTGTTCTAATGAGGTGACGCTGGGTGGGCTTCTGAATGGTTCCGGGTTGGTCGCTGGTCACCGAGAGACCAAATCACAATCAGAAGGCCTGAATTTTCGGGATTTTCAGCCCCGCTCCCCATTGTCTTGAGAAGGAAGAAGGGCTGAAGATGGAGTTAATGATCAGTCATGACTACATGAAGCTTCCAGACCGGTGAAGACGTGGAGGTGTGGGCGGAGGGGCACTCCAGGACAGGAAGCTCTGCGCCCCCCCCCCATAGACCTTGCCCTGTACACGTCTTCCCTCGGGGTGTTCATCTGTACCCTTTATCACATCCTTTCACAAAGTGGTAAACAGGTTTCCCTGAGTTCTGTGAGCCACTCTAGCTAATCCATCGCACCTGGGCAGGGTGTCACGGGCAGCTCTGACTTAATTACACAGCCAATCAGTCAGAAACACAGGTGGCAACCTAGACTTTGCCACTGGCGTCAGAAGTAGGGGTGGGGGGGCAGGCTTGTGAGACTGAACTCTCAACCTGGGGGGTCTGAACCTTCTCCAGGTAGAGAGTGTCAGAATTAAGTTGTCGGACACCCAGGCGGTGTCCCAGAGAATTGCTCGGTGGGGAAGGGGGGGGTGGGGGGGACGGGACTCCCACATATCTGGTGACCGGAAGTGTGAGAGGCGAAGCGTTCTGCGTGAAAGCAAAGGAGAGACACACACAGGTGGGCAGAGGTTCCCAAATACACTGGTAGATCCATATAGTGAACTACTATATGAAATGATGATTATTCACTTATCTTGAATTGTATTCATGCCATTGTACCACAGTATAACCGCGCATATATACACAATTGTGCGTGTAGACACAGAACGTTTGGAAATTCACTAAAATATTAAGAATGATGCTATCTCTGAGATTTCAAGTGATTTTTTACTTTCCTTTCTTTTATACTTGTTAGTATTGTTTAAATATTCACAGACTAAGTTTCATTTTTTAAGTGAGAAATAAATAGCAACAAAGATACTATCCTTCTTACATACTGATCCTTCATGGAAGATAAAACAAGTGCCATTAGGTAACAAATAATCTGGCAGAACTCTGTACCAACCAGCCCGTCCTTTTTCTGCCCCTTTATCTCTACTCAGAACGGATGCAAAAATACCCACATTAAATAAAGACAACATGCAAGAGTCTCTCTGTATTACATGCACAGGAAGACAAGAGGGGCTTAAACTCCTAAATAATCCACAACATTTTATCCCTCATTAATTTAATTTACAAAAGGAGTAATTATCATGTTGCGAAGTTATTACTGAGTCCCACATTAAATCCCTGTGAGCTGAAGCAATTTTGTTCTCAGAAGAAAACAGACCAAATAATTATAGAAATTTAGACAAGTTTTTTTAAAGCATCCTTGAACAGGCAGATTGGAAATGAGGACAACCTTCTGAAGGTACAACTTCTCTGTGTAGTTGTGTTTTGAAGTTACCTTAAGAAAAATCTAGTCTTAGGTTACATTTCAGAGACTCCCCACCCCACCCCACCCCCCCGCCAGGGAGCCTGTGGACAAGTCTCTGCTTACTTCGGGGTGCCTTGTAACTTCACCTAACTCCCTTTCCTTGTCTTTCAACCAGCCCCTTGTGAGGACTGTCACCTACTCACCTAGAGGGAGCCTCTCCATAGCAGCAGCTTGTGGGCACTGTAAACGGAACACCCGTCCCCCTGGCCATTCTCTAAATCAAACGTAATGCCAGAAGATATTTTTTCCTAAAGCAGACTTCTCTTTATGCCTTGTAAGTAGAAATCCATTATTCCCTCATCAATGGTGACTCATAAAGTGCATTTAGAGATTTACCATCAAAAATAGGAATTTTCTAGGTCTTACCCAATCTCATTAGGTAAGAAGCTATTCCCACACTTACAAACGGAGCTAGAACAGGCGCAGTATTCGATCTTTACTGCGCATGCCTGTGCGTGGGTGCGCGCGCACACAGACACAAATCTCTAAGACGTAAGTCGCTATGGTATGAAAGGCAATCACACATTGTTGTCGTAACGATTTCATTTTCCAAAACAACAGAAACTCCACAAACCTTCAGTTGTTCATCTACAACTCTTGTCACTTCCCCAGCCATTGATTCCAGGGTCTCTTGAATGGGACCGGATAACAAGCCACTGGTTCCTGCCCAAGACGTACCACCGACATGGTATAAGTTTGGTAACAACTGTAATAAAAATACAAATAACCTCTCTGTAACTATTTAAATAAGCACCAAAGTCATTGCAGAGTTAGTGAAAAGGGTAAGAAATACTATTAGAGAGAATCTGTTCTCGATCAAAGGCTCATTATACAGATTAATAAACTGGCGTTCAGGACCAGTATGTTACCTCCGTGCCTCTTGATGTCTTCCTCTGGGATATGAAGGTGTTTGCTGCTCAAGATCCTCCTACTCACAACACTCGAGGGCTGTGTGACCAAGAGCAGAGCCAGGCCCAGGCTCCAGGTTCTCTGACCCCCGTTAGTCTTTTCTCCATGAAGTCACATTTTGGGGACCAAATTCGAATTTGAAAGAAGCTTCCTTTTTAGAGGTGACAGAGGGGAGTTTCATGCTATCAGCTTAGAAGTAGAATAATTTTAAATGAGCTGCTGCCCACGTAAACTACAACTGTACCTCTCAGTTCTTCAGGACCCGATGATATCCCTTGTCACCACATGGGACCCCTACTTTTTATTCTATATTTTGATGACCGGTAATTAGCCTGGGGAACAGAAAGGAGGCAAAGAGGAACTCCATTCACTCTGCCACTTGTTAGTCACCTTGACATTGGGTAGAAAGCTAAAAAAAATTGGAACTAGTTTCTAGAATTGAAGTTCAAAAAAGCTTTTTATTACGTAAGATGCTCACGTAGCCTGAAGTGAAACTCACCGTTTTAGAGTTCTTCGCATCACGCATGAGCCTTTCTGCTGACTTTAAGTCTTCCTGGACAGCGTCTCCTGCACAATTTCGTAAAGAGTTGAGATGGTCCTGTACTTTCACACATATTCTGTCAATCATCTGCTCCATGCCGTGAAAATGACAGCAAGCATCCGAGGCAGCATGGCCATTATTCAGACAGAAGAAAACACAGAATGAATGAGGACAAAAACATCTTCTAACTGGAAGATTCAAGAAGGTAGCTTATATATAGCCAGTTATTAATTTATCCGTTCATATCAGCAGCCTTTGGCAACATTAACTCCAGTAAAACATCTCAGGGACTTCTGTCCTTTCTCCTGCCTTAGGAAATGCAGCATGTAGAACAAAAGTGCGCACTTCTGGATGATTCAGAATTTCGTGGCTACTCCCGTGACACTTAGCTAGATAGTAACTCTCCTTCATTAATTTTTACTGAGTACCCTCTATGTCAGACATAGTACTAGGTACTGAGGAAACAGAGAAATGGGCTGTGTAATTTGGCGATGGTTGATATGACTACAAGATGGTGCCCACAGCCAGCTGGTCCCAATATTACAGAATCCTATCATCCCTGGAAATTAATATTTTTAAAAAGATTTTATTTATTTATTTGAGAGAAAGAGAGAGCACAAGCAGGGGGAGTGGCATGCAGAGGGAGAAGCAGATTCCCCACTGAGCAGGGAGACTCACTCAGGGCTTAATCCCGGGACCCGAGGATCATGACCTGAGCCAAAGGCAGGCGCTTAACCAACTGAGCCACCCAGGTGCTTGGAAATTAATATTTTTAAAGAATTCAACTATATCAGGTACTTTTCCACATAAATTAAAAGCCACCCCTTCCCAAGAAAAGCCAAGTTTAAGTTCTATTATTTTAACACAGGCAATAATAAAGCTGACAACATTTAGTGTCTATTCCGTGAAAGCCCCTCTCCCAGGTTAATTACATCTGAATCATTTTCAGTTACTCCATGGACTTAAGCGTGAAGCCCAGAAGGAAGTCGTAGATCACTACTGTAGACAAAAAATACCACAGACAGGCAAGATTATATCCTTTTGCATTTGCATTTATAGAGAGAAGCATGAAGAAAGCTAAGAATTCTAAAGAAAGAGATAAACAGTGTGATTTACAAAGTTTCTCCACTATTCTGATCAGAACTACAGCCTCTTTCATGTTCTTAAAAAATTATTCATTCTTCCAGAGACCTCAGATATCCAGAGTCCCATCCTATCTGATCATTCACTCAGAAGAGGTGGCAATCTAGTAATATTTTTTATTTAAATTCACACTTGCTCTATTTTGAATTATCTAACAACTACAGGAAGCCAAAGTCAGCCCTCTTTCCCCCATAAATTCTGCAATAACAGAAACTTGGCTACACCACTCAGAAGACTTACAGTCTGAATACAGAGTGGCAGCATCACCATCCCTCCTGCCCTCCTCTTCTAGAAAATCAGGTTCATAACATCTACCCCATTTCTTTTTCTAGTGTATTATGAAGACAACCCAGTTAAGTAACACCACTCACAGCACCTATTCCCTTGACACAGGGTCACTAAGTCAACATTAATGTACATTAAGAACAGCTCCTGTTATTATCAAATGTCCCACGGTTATAGAAGTAAAGGACCCAGAGCTCCTCACAGGAAAAAGAAGTTGTATGAACAATGCTCCTAACTAAAATCTAAGCATGTCGGGAGCGACCATATCTTAACTTGATGCGTTTTCACAATGCCCTGCAGAGAACCAACTGTATGTTTTAAAATATCTTCTTAATTGATGTAAATTCTAACTCTTCTGTTGTATTGATCTGTGCTTCCTGAAGCAAAGAGTCATCCATAATTCAGATCTTACCAAGAAACAATACTTACTTTCAAGAGACAAGTAAACCACATACTAAGAAAGGAACTGATACATGTCTGAGGCCACACAGGACTCATTTGAGAGGCAGGTGGATGAGGCATTATGAAGTTGGTCATCCTTAAAAATCGGGAGCCCAAAGAGACTCCTGAAATGTGTGTCACGAGGCGGTCACCAAGGACACCATGTCGATCAGTCGCAGGCTCTCTTCCACAGGATGGTCTAGCACACATCTCAACACAGGTATCTCTTCTTCCCTAATCTGTTTTTCTTCAGGCTTCACATTCTCGGGTCCTCTTACCATGCTACTATGGTGATAATCTTATGGTCCCCAACCCTCTCCCCACCCCAGGCCCCTTCTCTGAATTGTCTCTTCCATCTTGGACCTTCACGAAATATACCCCTCTCAATAAAATAGATTGTGACACAGGAGGAGGCGATCGGTAAGCTGAACAGGGCCAGCACATTCTTTACTGTAGCAAATATACTTCCATTAATGTGGTACCGGTCAAACTGGCTTCTCTGGCAGCTAAATCACACCACTAACTTATGTCACACTTGTTGGTGACTACTTAAGTTTTTTCAAGTATACTGGGTTATTATAGAACCCAAGGTCAGAACTTAGAACTCTTTTTTTTTTTAATAAGAGAGGTTGTTTATTTTTTTTAAGATTTTATTTATTTGAAAGAGAGAGAGTACAAGAGGGGGTAGGGTCAGAGGGAGAGGGAGAAGGAGACTCCCCGCTGAGCAGGGAGCCCGATGCGGAACTCGATCCCAGGACTCCAGGATCATGACCTGAGCCGAAGGCAGTCGCTTAACCAACTGAGCCACCCAGGCGCCCCAGAACTTAGAACTCTTAGTAATAAATGCCATCTTTGGTTGCTCTCCACTTGTTATAACTGTCCCTAGTTCCAGCAAATACCGTATTTGCAGAAAAGTCTATCTTTCTCCATGTCAATTTCTTTAACCAATTCAAGAGAAATAGACTGAACACCTAAAACCAAATGAAATACAGTCCGGAATAAGATATGTCTTTTGCCACCAAGCAACTTAAAAGCCTAGAAGTGGAAAGAAGCGTTCTCAATTAATAGTAACACAAGATAGAGAGTGCTTCATAATATAACATCTACAAGGGCACCCCTGTTTTGTTCGTTTTGTCCACTGCCAAAGCTCAGCTCCATTTCCTACAATGGTGCCTGCCACATGGCAGACCCTTCTAAGTATGCATTCAGTGAACACAGGAATGATACAAATGTACAAGATTTCAGCCAAGGGAGGGATCCCATCCAGCTGAGGATGAAGGTGGCTTTTCAACTGGGTCCTGAACGATCTACAGATTTAGAAAGTAGAGGGAATTTTAAGCAAAAGAATAAACATAAGCAATGGCACATCCAGACACCTGCAAATCCTATTTCCTCATTAGGATCAGGGTGCTTTATTGTGGGAGATGGGACTGGAAAAGTTCGGCTAAGGCAAGAGAGTGAGAGACTCAGGCACAGGCTAAGGAGATGGAACAGGGTGTATGAGGCACGAGGCATCTGGCCCCAGCTCCTCCCACAACTGTGAGGGTCTAAAAATCCTCACCCTGTAGCACTCTTGGTGACTCAGCTTCCCTGCCTGATGCAAAGGACATGGGCTGTAGAGAGCAGAAGGAGACGTGGAAGGTGGATACACGAGTTTCCGTAGTACTTATAAAAGAAGATCTAGGAGTGAGTTGATAAAAACACCTGAGCAAGAGGGCTGGCAATGGAATTGGAAAAAAAAAAAAAAAGAAAAAAGAACAACTGCAAAGACACTTGGAAGGTCAATGGGTGGGCACAGCAACCACTGGCTGGCCACGGCAAAGGAGACATCCAAGATGGCCCCACCGGTTCTATCCTCAGTGAATGATGATGCCACTGAGAGAACTGGTAAAATCAGGAGTTCCAGGGACGAGTTTCATCTTAGTCACCCCCTATCTCAGAAATGCTAGTGTTGACAAGATAAAACTTGCTGGAAAAAAACAGGGATAGACCCAGGAGTCCTCCACGGTTGGAGCGTCAAAATGGTAAGAGTAGATAAAATAGCTAAAGAAAAGAAGCACTATGTACAAAACTTAGAAAAAGGACTGCATTTGGAAGATGAAAGGGTAAAGAGTCGTGTAGAAAGGAGACAGATAAGACCCAAGAGCACAGAAAGATATTCAAAATGGCACACTGTCAATGAATGAAGCCGTGAGTCTTAGAAAGAATGAAGTAATTAATCGTGATGGTAATTGTGACTATAAGACTAATAACAGCAACAAACATTAACGGTTTACTGGTGAAGAGCCAAGGACTTCCCATGCTCTATCTCAGTGAATCCCCCAGCATCTTCAGAGACGTGTTGTTCCCCCTCACCCACCCCACTTCCCAGACGAAGAAACCAAGGCTGGAACAGGTTTACGTGACTAACATCAGTTTACACCCACAGGGAAAGCAGAGCCCGTCCTTCAATCCGGGTCGTCTACACTATCCCGCCTCCTCTCATTAACAGATGAAGAGGGAGAAAAAGCCCAGGGACTTGGTGACCAGAAGACCATGGAGAGAAACATTTCAGTACAGATAGGGACACATTTGGAAAGGTTACAAAGTGACAGAGTAGCAAAGAAGTCAAGAAAGCAAGTATAAAAACTGTACATGTGAGGTGGGAAGACAACGTGTCGGGTAAGTAGCTCTAGGCAATAAAACTGCCTTCTCCCTTTCCTTAAATGGTCAGAAAAGTTTCAGAGTGAGAAGAGCGGACGGAGTTCGGCCAACTACAGGCAATTCTGGGCCTGTTTTTTTTTTCCCCCCAAAGTATATATATTTTATTACTTCAGTGTTTAAAAAAAAAATCCACATAGGAAAAAGGCCTGGAAAGAAATAAATTAAGACCATGTGGGTGAGGGTGTGTCCAGGCTTGTTTTTATGAATAAAGTTTTATTGGAAGAGCCACCTCATTCATGTACATAGTGACTACGATGCACGTACACAGAAAAGATCTGCTGACTTCTGATGAAGAGAGTTTATGAGATGGAAAAGAACAGACTGAAAGCAAAGGGAGAGTACAGAGTCTTACATAGATCATTCCTAAAGGAAGATGTGAGCAGTTATGAGATGTCATTGTAATACCTTCGGTGCCATCTGGGAATGATGACTGGCTACACAACTGGCCAGAAGGTCTATTTTTTCTGTATTCAGATTTCTGGAAACTTTGAGAAGTTTCAATAAGAAGGAGATAAATCTCTCTTAAAGTGACTGAAACAATTAAAGTCTGAAAACTGCTAATCATAATGTCCTAAGAAATCCCCAAAGAGAAAAGGTGGCAATATACCTACTACATAATGACTCAAATAATTCAGACAGATGCCACTCACGCAGAATTAAACACATGTACTACCACCCCTGTGTACCATTTCCTCTAGGTTGAGAAGACGAAACTTACTTTTAAGGATTAGCATTGAAGGTTGCTGCAGTAATTTTTTTGGATGGGCAAAATCCCCTGTGAATGAGGGGCAGAGTTGGAAGGATATTGTGTTAAGACAAGCCTGCATTATGGCAGCTCATAAAGGAACCCGAGGCAAAGATGCGATGTAAGATTTTAGCACTCTCGTTGCTTTTAATGTTCACCACTAAAACCAGGAAATAACAGTAAACCATAAAGTACTAAGCTAATATTAGTCCCTTGCAGGGGGAAAAAAATAGATTTTTCAGGCATGGGTAAGGGCAAACTTTTGTTTTCTTTTTCAAAACTCCCGGCTACCTCACCAATATTCATAATTAGTGTTTTTTTCTCAATATACATTGCTTTACTTTGTCTTTTACAAAGAATACATGGTCTTTGTATTCTTATTCAATGCCATAAAGGTTTCAAAGAATACTGTGAAGTATACGAGAATAAAACTCACTTAAATCACACCTCCTGAGATAACCCTCATGCACATCCTGGTGAAAACCCTTTCACAAACCTCTATGCAGTCTTCCAGATAATTTTACCTACTGGGAATATTATATATGATGCTTTTATTGTGGACACTTTTCTTTCATTCTCTTTTAAGAAAAAGCAACAGCAAAAAAATTAAAATGACATTTGCACAAGAAAACAGTGCAAACCATTAAAAAAATGGTCTCAAATGGCAAACTCTGCCTACCAGTCACCCTGCTGAGATAAACACTTTTGGAAACCCGCTGCTTTTTAAATTCTTCTGGTGGCTTCCATTTGAAATTTAAATAGTAGACTTACATTTGTAGTTTTCTAAGTATATTATTTTAATTCCAGTATGGTTAACTATATTTGTACTTTTGATTTAAGAAGGAATGATAGAAAAGAAGTTGAGTTCATAAAATAAAAACTAAAAATTCAGCATACTTAACACTCCCGCCCACATTTCTCCCTCTTCAATTTCTAATTTTAGTTAGTATCAATACTTTTACATTCAGATTTCTAACATTCACATTTTTTAACGTAATAGTGAGGTTTTCCCTTCTTGTCTGAGTTGATATTAAAACTTTAAACCCACTAAAATGCAGTTACAGAATTATGACTATGGGATCCCCACAGAAAGAAACGTAATCCCATGTCTTTTAATCCTGCAGCCCCCAGCAGACTGTCCAATTTTTAAAAGCTTTCCTTCAACTCTTGTGACTTCAAGGATTTCATTTCTGCTACAGTTTCTTATTTACACCTCATACTGCATACTCTCTTATTTTTCATCGTTACGTTGGAGAATTTCCTCAAAGAACTTTTTGTGCATATGGAATATCGGGGGTCAAATTTCTGAGCCCATGTCTGAACCCATTTTAATTCTCTCCTCGTATCTGCTTAATAAGTGGCTAGGAGTAGAACTCATGGTCCCAAATAAATAAATCCCCCTCTGAACTTTGATGACATCACCTCATTTGCTTCCAGTAATTGGGATGGATGCAAAGAAGCAGTTTTAGTTATCCTGTAAGATAGCCGCCCTTTGAGTCTCTCTGGTATGCTTTAAGATTTTAAAAGGCACAAAATCATCAGCAATTAAAAGCGCATTTTTAGCATTAGAATCAGCCTACATTTTCCTCACCCTACATCTTCCCCCCACTCTACTTCCCTTTGTCATCATCTTCAGAAACCAGTTTGTACTGTCCCACTGTGGATGATTCAGGGGACAGAGACCCTGTGCCCCTGCTCTGAAAAGGGGCCGCTGCGGGCGAGCCGGGGAGAGCGGCGCTCTCTTACCTGCTGCGTGGTGCTGGTGACAATGCCCTGCTGCAGGCGGTAGGCCTGCTCTTGCAGGTATTTTCGGGTCTCGTGATTCCGGAGCAGATAGTTTTCGATCTGAAAAGCAAGCACATAGATCTCTCAAGAACACACTTCAACTCAGCGGAGGGTGAAGTGATAAGGGAAAGAGCCAGGTGCTGAACTTGAAACCAAAGCTCTGATTCACACTCCTGCCTGTGCCTTGACTCCATACAACATAGGAGTCGGGAAGCGGGCCATCACTGTGATGCACTCTTGGTGTGTGAGTTAGAGATGTAACCTGCAGATCATGGGAGTAATTTTGTGTGACTCGGTAGCTGACAAAGGTAAGCAAGCGTTTAAGTGCCCACGCAGCTGGAGATCCCATGCAGCGACTCCCTGCTTTCTTGCACATAATCACAATCTCTCCCTCATGAGCCTTTAACCACTCAACAGTTGCAAAGCTAAATAAATATCCCCAAGGCGTATGGATGGCACCCTCTGAAACTCTCAGCCTTTAGGAGGCAGAATCCATTGGCACCGAGAAAACTATTTGAAGGGAAAAAAGGAGAAAATAGGTACAAAATTTGAAGGCCACAGGCTAGTACAACTCAAAGACATATATTAGTTTCATTAATTCATGAGGTTTTCGTATTATCTCAAAAACAGGACTGATTTTGCAAAAGTAGAGAAAATAAGAAAACAGATTTCCACAGAAAATAAGAACATTTGAAGTTGCTTGAGAGTCTGTATTTTCACACACAATCTCCTATTAAAGGTTCAAACACACAAATGATGACTACATTAAAATGAAGTGTTTAAGAAGACTATGCAAGGGGTATACATTGAACAAGAACTGCAGGGTTAACTACTGGGACTGATGGACATGTATGAAGATGTCCGCAAAGAAGGATTTGAGATCAGTAATTGCACCATCTGGGTTTTTTTTCCAGTTGTTGTTTTCATTTGTTTTTAATAATACCACTTAACCATCTGGCTTTTAATTTGTCACTGTTGTTCCCTGGTTAAGAACTTCTAATAACTGTGAGGCTCTCAGTATTATTACATTTTCATTTTAATTTTCCATATGCTAAAATGACTACTACTTAACACCAATTAGAGACAATTAACATACAGACTATAATTACTATCATCCCTGGAAACCATAAAGCAGAACAAAATGTACCTTTCTACTAAACATTAATGAAGGAATTATAAAAATGAAGAGATCACTGAAACGAAACATCATTAAAAGTGACACATTAAGACCATGACATTTCACTACATTCATTTTTTTCTTGCTACTTCCCAAAAAGTCATCTCTTTCCAAGGTGACATTACCATCGATGGAAAATGTTTTTGCCAAAAACAAAAACAAGATTCTTGCCTGAAATATAACAGGCACACACTGCTACCCAGCTTTGGGTACTCTTGCTCTGTTATTTATCCTTTTACATTTGGTCTCCTTAAGCACTGTCTGGGAGCCAGTTGTGAGAGCAGCTTGTACGAGAGGCTCGGCTCACGTACGGGTCGTGCACCCAAGGCTGGCCCATGCATTTGCAGACCTTCCCAAGGGGCACCAATGATGCTCTACAGACTAAGCCTGGAGGGAAATCTTTTTAGAAAAAAAAAATATTCAGGGGCGCCTGGGTGGCTCAGTCGTTAAGCATCTGCCTTCGGCTCAGGTTATGATTCCAGGGTCCTGGGATGGAGCCCCGCATCGGGCTCCCTGCTCAGCAGGAAGCCTGCTTCTCCCTCTCCCACTCCCCCTGCTTGTGTTCCCTCTCTTCCTGTCTCTCTCTGTCAAATAAATAAAATCTCAAAAAAAAAAAAAGGAAAAATATTCAAAGCTCATTTCTAAAAGCCAGTGCAAGGTGAAGGAAGAATAACAACGAAAGTATTCACGTCTTGGATTAGCAGGATAAGCCTTCCTTCCCTGCACCTTTCCAGACCGGGGACAGAGACCCCGCCTACCACAGGCTGAGGATGGACAGCCCGACTGAGGCCAAATGGGAGGAAAAGGGCCCAAAGTGGTATTACCATGTCTGCCAGGCCCCCTGGGCAGCAGTGACTGGGACAGCCACCCAGAGCCTATCAACACCTTCAGTGTCACTGCTGAAAACAGCAGCAGCATAAAAGGCAAAAAGACCTGCATTTTTCAGTGTAGGAATCTTACATTTAAAGCAAAACAAAACTTCTAAAGATTGATTACAGGATCACAATGTTGTTCTTTAGTAGAGTAAAACTAAAGAGCATATTTCTTCCGGGGAATAGAGTTCTGTTAAAATGAAAACTTACTATACAAGAGTACAGTAAGTATCATAGAAAAAAAAACCTGATAATGATCACTTTTAAAGTCACCAAATTTTCATTTAAGAAAACACAAATTTTACAATTAACATACGTGCAGATGAGGCATTTCTTTGGTTCCTTCTTTTATTTTCCCCTCTTTTTCTGCTTTCTCTGGTTTTAAGGACCGTATATGATTACACTTTTCTCTCCTTCCTTAGTATATTAACTACACTTCTTTTAAAATTATTTTAGTGGTTGCCCTAGCATTTGCAATACGCAACTATTTCAAGTCCACTGTCACAGAACACTGTACCAATCTGCAAATAGTGCAGGTTCCCTGTAATACAGTATCATCAACTTCTCCCTCTCCTCATAACACTGCTATCTTTGCATGTTTTGATTTCTCCTTTACTTTTTAAGATTTATTTATTTATTTGAGAGAGAGAAAGTGGGGGGCGGGGGAAGGGAGAGGCAGAGGGAGAAGGAGAGAGAGAGTCTCAATCAGACTCTGTGCTGAGCACGGAGCCCGACGCGGGGCTCGATCTCACGACCCTGAGATCACAACCTGCGCCGAAATCAAGAGTCAGACACTCAACTGACTGCACCACCCGGGCACCCTCTCCCTTAATTTTGAAGAAAAGATTTTGCTAGATACAGAATTCTAGGCTGCTAAATCTTTTTCTTTTGACACTTTAAATATTTCACTCTACTTTCTTCTTGCTTGTGTGATTTCTGACCCAAAGTCAGCTATAATTCTTATCCTGATTTCTCAATATGTAAGGTGGTCCCCCCACCCCGACCTTCTTTCAAGAATTTCTTTTTTGTCTTTGGTTTTCTGCAGTTTAAATATGATATGCCTCCATGTAGATTTTTTGGGGTATTTATCCTACTTGGTGTTCTCTGCAATTCCTAAATCTGTGGTTTGGTATCTATCATTAAATTTGGAAAATTCTCAGTCATTATTATTTCAACTATTTCTTCTGTTCCCTTGTCTTTCTTCTCTGGCATTCCCACTGTATGGATGCTCTATCTTTTGTAACTGTCCCACAGTTTGGGGATATTCTGTTCTGGTTTTGCCCTCCATTCCTTTTTTTCTCTTTGCTTTTCAGTGGGAAGTTTCCATTGACCTATCTTCAGGCTCAATGTTTCTTTCCTTAGCTGTGTCCAGTCCACTGACAAGATTATAAAAGGCATTTTTCATTTCTGTGTTTCTGACCTCTAGATTTTCCTTTTGATTTTTTTCTTAGAGTTTCTCTCTGCTCACATTACCCATCTGTTCTTGCATGGGTTTTACTTTTTCCATTATAGCCCTTAATATACTAATCAGTTATTTTAAATTCTGTCTGATAATTCCAAATTCTGTGTCATATCTGAGTCTGGTTCTGATATTTGCTTTATCCCTTCATAATGTGTTTTTTTTCCCTTGCCTTTTAGCATGTCTTAAAATTTTTTTTTTTATTTTTGTTGTTGTTGTTGACTGGGTATGATGTATCTGGTAATACAAACTGAGATAATCAGGCTTTTAATGTGCAATTTTATGTTAATCTGGCTAGAAGCTGGGTTATGCTGAACACTTTGAAAGTAAAAAGACTTTAATTTCTTCCCATGTCCTTGTTTTTATCTCCCTGGTTGCTTTGGGGTTTCCCTAGAAATCCCTTCTTAAATAGAGTGTCTTACAGCTTTGCTCATTTGTAATCCACTGTTACAACACTTGATGTGGTGGTTAGGTGTTAGGGAAGGGAATAATTCTATAATCTTATGATTAAATTTAGGTTTTATTTAGTGGGCCTGAGTCCCTGGGCTGTGACCTGCCAAAGTATTTCTTGGCCTTTTTTTTTTTTCTTTCTTCCCTTCTGTGAAACAGGAAGGCTGGATTGTCTGTCTTTCGCTAGATCAGATAAGGCTCCGATAGAGCAGTTTCTCTTGAGTGTATGCATCCGTTATAAACAACAGAATGTTCTAGGTAGATTTCAAAATGGCTACTTGTTCCCTTCCCCCTACCAGAAACATGACAGGATTTTTCTCCAGTCTTTCCTGTGATGACCTGGTGGGGTTCTAGGAGGTAAAGAACATGAAGGGATCAGGACCTCACTAAGATTGGGCCCCTAGGAGTTTTTAACTTTTTTTTTTTTAAAGATTTTATTTATATTTTTGAGCAATAGAGTGTGCAAGCACGAGTGGGGTGAGAGGCAGAGCGAGAAGCAGGCTCCCCACTGAGCAGCGAGCCCAACTCAGGGCTCAATCCCCGGACTCCAGGATCATGACCCGAGCCGAAGGCAGATGCTTAATTGACTGAGCCACCCAGGTGCCCCTAGGAGTTTTTAACTCTTAAACTAGTCCACTAGTCCACTAAGCCTCCAGCAAATCCTCAATTGCCGGTTAAGCATTCCTCTGAGTTACTGACCCCATTAGCTTCTGCCCCTGGTAAGCCGATCTTGGTTTTGATTCACTGTGATTCTCTGAATTCCCACATGTCCAGTTTCCAGGGTGGCAGTCTACTTTGCTTTTGCCTCAGTTCTTTGACGGATCTGAGAAGAGTCACCAATTTTCTTCTGTTCAGCTTTTTTCTTGTTGTGAAGATGGGAGTGATGAGTGCCAAACTCCTGACCTGTCAAATTTAAACCCAGAAACCTGGTGTCTCTAGGATATGTCTTTTGCTACAAGTTGCTAGTATCCTTTGGGAAACTATAAAGAGGTCTAACATTTTTACGCTGCTTTGTGGTTTACAAACTTTTTTTTCACATATACTAACTGGTTTGGTCCCTGGCACCACAGGCAAATTACTTGGCCGTCCTGCCCTTCGGTTTTCTTATGTGCAAAATGGGGATATAACAAACCTATCTCATGGATTTATCTTATAGATTATCAGTGTTAATTTATGTAAAGCATTTATAATAGTGTCAGGCACCCAGCATGAACTGTATGTTAAATGTCAGCTAAACATAGCTCCTGTCTAGCTGTGTGTTTTATATAGATGAAGAAACCAAAGTTCAGAAAAATTAAGTAACTTATGTAAATTATAAAGCTGAAAAGAGTTTGATTTAGTCAGATCTTTTTTTTTTTTTTGAAGATTTTTTAATTTACTGACAGAGAGAGAGAGGACAAGCAGGGGGAGCAGCAGAGGGAGAGGGAAAAGCAGGCTCCCCACTGAGCAGGGAGCCCGATGCGGGGCTCAATCGCAGAACCCCAGGATCATGACCTGAGCTGAAGGAAGATGCTTAACCGACTGAGCCACCCAGGCGCCCCAGTCAGATCTTCTGAATACAAATCTTGGATGATTTCTGTTGCCACATCACAGCTTTCCCTCCCCCCACCCTACCTTATTCCCTTTTATTCAACGAAGTCTAAGGAGTATCCAAGCATGTATAGCAGGCACTGTACTAGCTGCTGAACATCTAAAAAGATGAAAAATACATAGGTTCTGCCTTCAAGGAGTTCATAGTCACTGAGAGAAACAAATATATGGAGTCAGGTAATGTAAAGGATGTCACAAGGCCAGTGACAGAGACAAGCACAGGAAATTCTGAGAAGACCCCCTACACAGAGGAGGAAGGAGGCTCTGAAAAGTTTCCAGATGAGCTGACACTTGCCTTCAACCTTGACAGACACACATGGTAGGTAGTGGGGAAAGCATGAGTATCCTCTGGATCAGAGCAGTGATTCCCAACTTCGCAGCCACCAGAAGAGCTTGTAAAAACAGACTGCTGAGTCCCACCCCCATTTCTGAGACCCAAGAATTTGCATCTCTAACAGTTCCCTGAAGTAGAGCAGGGCAAAGAGGCAGGGTTGGTAAGAGATGAAGGTGGCAGTGGATAGGAGGCGGATCCTGGGCACAATTTTACGCCAGTTCAAGGAGAGGAGGTTCTACTGTAAAAGCCACTAAGGGGCAGGGATGGAATGGGGAGAGGTGGGCTGAAGAGGTTAGTCTGCTCAAATCCGCTGTCAAAGAAGATGGCTCTGTTTGACTGCAACCAAGAAAACAACGCAAATCCTGCTGAGAAGTGATGAGGCTTGAACAACGGCATCTGTGATAGGAAGAGAGGGGAAGAGAGCTAAGGAAGAGGTTTACGCCGTAGATTCTGTAAACCTGATGACGGCATGGCTATGGAAGGCGTGGGAAAGAAAAGTCAAGCGTGGGAAGCTGGCTGGTACCACCAGATGGGCGAACGAAGAGGGAGGGAAGGTTTCAAAGATGTCCCAGCCACCCCCACAGTAAAGGTGGAGTAGGTTCCTCCAGATGGGAAATCCTTGAGCATACCTAAAAATCAAAAAAGGTAACCACAGCCATAGGAAGAGAAGGATGGAGGTGTGGCAGAGCGAGAGAATGCCTCTCAGGGCAAGTTTCCAGCTCAGATGGAGACGCTGCGGTCACGGGCACCAGGGATGGCTCAACTTCGAAGGGGGAGATCCCCGTCATCCTCTGGGGTTGTTGGAAAGGAGGTGGGAATGGGTGTGGAATTAGACACATCTATAAACAAAGATGGTACAAGGAGATCTCATCCATATCCTAAATTTCTTAACAAGAAAAGAAATGAAGTGGGGCGCCCGGGTGGTTCAGTCGGTTAAGAGTCCAACTCAACTTTGACTCAGGGCATGTTCTCAGAGTCCAGAGATCGAACCCGTGTAGAGCTCCACGCTCAGCACACTCAGCAGGGAGTCTGCTTGAGATTCTCTCTCTCCCTCTCCCTCTGACCTCCCTCCTGTTCTCTCTCTCTCTCTCTCTCAAATAAATAAATCTTAAAAAAAAAAGAAAAGGGTCTAGCTGCTGAGGTTAAAGGTTGTGCTAGCTGACATTCAGTTCCACAGTCTCTGAAGGATGAACAAGAGGCTATCTGTGGGTAAGTACTAGAACGCTGATGGTGTAAGAATAAGAATGTTATTCCACTTAAACTTCATGACAAATTTTCTTTTTTTAAACATTACTTATTTATTTGACAGAGAGAGAGTGCACAAGCAGGGGGGAGGGGCAGAGGGAGAAGCAGACTCCACGCTGAGCAGGGACCCCGATGCAGGACTAAATCCGGACCTGAGATCATGACCTGAGCCAAAGGCAGACGCTTAACTGACTGAGTCACCCAGGTGCCCCAGCTTTCGTCTTTCTTATGTTATTCCTCCCCCAGCCATCCATGCCAATTGTGATCACAAGAATACAAACGCACGTGAAAGAAAGCTTTGGGAAATACAAAGTACTGTTCGTATGTTCAGAGTTATTACTAACAAAACTCGATTCAAACGTGAATTTATGATGAAACTATTGATTCTCCGATACCTTTTGCAGAGCCTCTTCTGTTTTTTCAGGGTTTGTTTTTAGGGCTTGAGAAGCATCATACATAGGGATCGGCATAAATCTCAATGTATAGTTCCTAGAAAAAGGAGAAGGTAATGTTTATTTAAAAAATAACATCCTACTACCTCTATTCAGCACTCTTTTTTAAAATCCAGAGACAGCTGCCAGTGTGTCTTAGAAGATTCGAAACTCACAGCCTATCTTCGAGCCCTGGGTTACAGGTCTGCTTTCCCCAGTGCACATGCGCGCAGCACCCGGGCACCTGCGGCCACCCATGCTGGCTTCTAACAGCGACACGCCTGGAGGGCATCTGGTTTTGTTGTTTTCAAACCCAGATTTAAACTGGGGCCGGAAAGCTGACCCGAGAGAAAGGCAAGGAGGGAAGTCCAGCATCCGCCTGCTACTTGGGTTTTAGTCACCAATGGAGCCCCAACAGTGACTATGTGTGACAGCCAGGCCCAAACCCAGAAAATGAAACCAAAACATCTGCTTGCAAGGCAAGGACGGGGGCATCCACAAAAACAGTCTGTTCAGGCTCTGCGCCCCTTTCAACAAGGAGGCCCCAGAGTAGCCACTGTCTTGAGAAAAGCTGCTTCACAGGGGCTTCCTGCCTGGCTCAGCACCTTGACCTCTGCAGGTCCCCGGGGCCCGCTCTCACACACAGCCCACGTCCATGCCGCTCTCAGCTCCCAGTGAAGCAACTGGTGGAAAACTGTGTCCTCGTATGATCTCCCGGCTGCCAACCAGGTGGTGAGACGCAGGAGGGCAGGGGGGAGTCATCTTTGCATGAGGAAAACAGCTCGGAACTCTGGAAGTGCGCCCTGGCCTCGGACCCCGCCCCTGGCACCTGCTCCCAGACCACACACTCGCCCTGGAGACACCTCCTCTCTCCCACCCCAAACCCATCTGCCCTTTGTTACCACATGGCACTCAGGAAGATTGACCTTCTGAGCCACGTGGTGACAAGTGGGGTCCCCTAGCGCACTGGGATCCCACAGTCGGTCGCCTTGTAAACACTAAGCAACACTCACGGTGTGATTCTTGTGGAAGAGTAAATTAACAACTCATTCCCAAATAAGGTACTAAGCATGAAGGATGACTAAAAAAAGAAGTAACCATCTTAATAATAGCAGTCTTCTGTATGGGTGTTATCTAATGGGGGGGGAAAAAAACATCTTTCAGTCCAACTTAAGGGTGGTTTAACGCAAAATAACGTGCCAAGATAAAGGCTGTTATTTCCATGACTTCAATTTTTTACCTTGGCTTTGTTTTAGAATTGTTTTGTTTGGTTTCAGAGGGGCCAGCCAACTGAAATGAAGAGACAATGCATCTATTTTGCAGCCCTGAGGATTTTCCTTGGCCTCGTCCAACGATGATCATGCTGCAGACCAGCATACTTTATTTAAACCAAATGTTACTTTGGGCCACTGGCATCATGGAGCTCGGCATACAGAACAGACTGTAAGTCAGGGAGCCCTACCGTCAATCTGGAAATGTTGAGTACCAGCTGTGCAGGCTCTTGGGCTTCCCACAAAGACCAGTGTGGGCTGCTAGCAGTCTACAGCAAAGGCAACTGTGCTGTTCGCACCTAAATGTAGCTATTTGTAAACAAATGTTTCCATTCCAAGGTTTCCTGGCGCAATGGGAGTAATTATAGGGGGAAGGCTCCAGGGAGAGGTGGAGCCAGCTGCCTTGTCCATATTTAGTGATGGTCTGTGGGGCTGCAATCATGAGCTCCTGACTAAATCAGAACCCTGGGATTTAGAACTGGAAGCCACTTAGGGATCTCACTCTATAAAAAAAGAATTAATCAGAAAGGTGCGCTGCTTTGCTCAAGAGGACAGGCTTGCCGGTGACAGAGCCGGGGACTGAATGGACGGCTCTTCTTTCCAGGCCTAGGGTTTGTTTTTTGTGTTTTTTTTAGTTTAACTCTTTTTAGGAGTTCTTAAGGTTTTTTTTATTATGTTATGTTAATCACCATACATTACATCATTAGTTTTTGATGTGGTGTTCCATGATTCATTGTTTTATCCATGATACCATGCTGGGCATGAGAGCTCCACCTAGGAGGCCTCACGCATGAAAGGAAATCTGGGAAAAAAACACGAATAATGAGCATTCCCTGATCCCTTCCCCAGGGGACCAGCTTCTATGCTACCAGCCCTTTATTTCCCACCCACATTTTGTAACCTCTCATTTCTAATGCTGTAAACCTTCTTTGATCATTTCTGCCTTCAGAATACAGTATGAGGACTGAAGAGCTCAAAAAGAACCAAATTTCTAGAATTTCTTCCAGCCATCTTCATATTATTGCCTCGTTTTGTTTACCAGGAAAGTAAATTTGACAATAAACAATAATTGCAGGCTTTAGTTACTATGGTAATAAAGCCTTTGACAGCAGTAAGTTAGCCTGCCGTCCATCGATTTCAGGTTTATTGTCTGGAGCTCAGCTTTCTTCTCTCCACTGTATTCTAAGTTGTCACAATGGGCAAAAAAGGCAAGACCCGACGGAAAGAGAACGTGAAACCACAAGGAAAAGCCAGGTGACCATCATGTGGCCCCTCCACCGTGATCTCATTTAATCCTCATGACGATGGTGCATCTCTGCCCTCGTGGACAGACTAAGAAGCTCACGCCGGAACAACGTCCATGTTTTCCCGGGTCCCCTGGCTGGGTAGCATTGGCTAACTCAGACCCAGAGCTTCTGGATCCAAATTCATTGCTACCTCCATCACACCATAGGTAACACAGACACCATTGGTTCCTTTGTATTTTCCCAGACAGAAGTCCCAATTAAAACTTACTTTTCCATAGCAACAGCTATATCCTGAAAGCCTTGTGCGGTAATGTTGTTCTTGTCCCATATGACAGTCCTGTCGGAAAACCCAGTCACATAAATGATCAGACATTTAGGGATCGAGGAAATGATTCTCCTACTGAAGATGAATCTCTTGCAGACCACAACATCTAGGTATTTTTGCATGACAGGCAAGGAATTACATCAACTTAGATACAGCAAGGGTGAGCATTTCCTCCAACATTACATTCTTAACCCATTTACTGCTCATATAGTACAAAAAAACCACAATAAAAGCCACAGCATACTCCTTAACTTGCCATGATGTTACCTGATGCTTTGCAGCCAGAAAACTCTGAAACCTGATTTCTCTGATATTCTCCAAATAGTATTCTAGTACTCATGTCTGAAGCTAGAGCTGTTTATAAAAGATGCTAAAAATCCCTTGTCCAGCACAAAGAAGTTCGGGTCCTGAGACTTTTGTCCATCCTAAGTAACTAAAAGGAGTCTGTCTTCTGTTTTCATCATTGCCCTGACATGGTATGATCAGCCATCCCAGAAAGTTCTCACTCTGCTGGTAAACCCTTGGTTTCCATAAATAGATGTTTACTTTTTAAACACAATCTATTCTGGAAGAAAAGTACTATTTCACTTCCAGAATGTGAGCACTTCAGAGGTATTTTGGTGTCTGTCGATTCACCTGCCACATGAAGCAGTTTTTATTTGTCTGATCCAAGAATCACACCTCTAATGGCTTTCCCTTCTTGATCTCAAGGACTTTCTTTACATACACTCTGACCTTCAGAGAAATTACTGCAGTTTTTGGCTTCAGGGTAGACAGAAAGTTGAGGAGGGCAAGGGAAGTATCCAGAAACATCAGGAAAGAGCCCCTTGAAGAGCAATGTGAATTAAATATTCGTTTACCAGACTGCTGGACTCGGGAGCAACTGGATCTCTCCGAAGGATGGATGGTAATGTGGTCCTTAATAACAGTGGTTACCAAGTAGCCAGTCCTTAAGAAAAGCCACACTTGGGAAACACTACAAGTGGTTGAAAACCACTACACAGAACAGTTAGCGCCCAGCATGAACTTGCCTTTAACCAAGGCACCTCCTGCATCCCTAGGGTTTTAAGTCTTTATATCGGCAGCAGTGGGGGAGGGGAGGTGACGGGCTCACAGCCAAGGACAGGGAAGGCCCTCGTGTTGGACCTTCCGTCTTCCTGGCTCTGCTCACTGCCCCTCCCCTCACAGCTGCCAACACCGTGAAACAGGACGCTGCCCAGTTCTCACTTGGGTTTTATACCACAGTGGAAATCTGTAAGACAACAGCTCGCAGGAATCACAATGTCTAAGTTTGGGACGCCCCCTGCCATCCCCAGGATTTTGACAAAAGACTTGAAACGGTCGCCGCCTCTCCAATGCTGGGGGGCCAGAATCTCTTCCAGAGCTTTCTAGGGCCCTCCTTAGGGCGAGCATCCTCATCTCAGGGCCGAGTGCCTGACCCGCGTACCTGAGCTTGGTGTTGATCTGCAGGGCTTTGGCCAGCATCTTCGCTCCCATGTCCCCCATCCCGTTCCCACTGATGTCCACTTTGGTCAGAGAGGTGTTGCTTCCCAGGGCATTGATGAGGATGGTGACCTCGGTCTTGAGTTTTGAGTCGGCCAGGGACAAGGACTGCAGGGGCTGAGGAGGGAACAAGGGGCAGCAAGCAGTGACACGGTCTAGTGGAAGCAGCCTCCGCCCTCCATGACCCGTTTCATGGAGAATCACCAGGGAGGTACCCGCTGCACACATCCAGAGCGTCTCGTTTTGAAACTCTGGCTCAAAGACACTGATGAATGGGACCTGAAGGTTCTGGATACACACGGAGAGCTTGGGTTTCAGTGCTGAACACTGGCCACCGCTCTCCTAGGGAAGTGTGGAAGGACACCTGGAGTGGCAGTTGCCAGCTCTTTTAAAGTGGAGGACAGGAAGGGGCGCCTGGGGGGCTCAGTCGTTAAGTGCCTGCCTTCCACTCAGGTCATGATCCCAGGGTCCTGGGATCGAGCCCCACATCGGGCTCCCTGCTCCGTGGGAAGCCTGCTTCTCCCTCTCCCACCCACCCTGCTTGTGTTCCCTCTCTCACTGTGTCTCTGTTGAATAAATTTAAAAAAAAACCTTTAAAAAAAAGTGCAGGACAGGAAGAAATAAATAAGAAAAGTACATGAAATTTCCGAGCTTCTGTACGGCTACGCTATCCTTTTTACCCATTCTATTTTTATGCAAGGTGAAATGACATCTTAAAATACTAGCAGAGGACAAATGCAAAATAAAAGCCAGCCAAGATTAATAATAGCTGACATTTACTGAGCACATACTATCCTTAACCACCATTCCAGCTTTTTTTATGGATTAATCATAGAATCCCCCAACACTTACGTGTTATATACTTGGTATTGTTATCCCCATCTCCCAAATGAGACACAGGCTAAGTGACTCAACCGAGATCACACAGTTAGAAAGTCGCAGAACGGAATGGATTTTGTGCTCTGGGCCCCTCGTAGCTTATCCTTGATCCTTTTAATGATCATCCTCTGTTTTATCTTAGAAGTACCAATCAGAACACATGTAATTTCTTAAAAAAGAGAAAAAGTCAGACGTCTGTGGCTTTTTTATTGCCATAAGCTGGATGGTGAATCCAAACCAGCTCGCGTGCTGTCCATTTCAGCCAGGGACTGTAGACCACGTGGCCCAGAAGCAGGTTCTGTCTGGCCCCAAAAAACTTGTTTATGCCTCCGGACCAGCCCCCGTAGGCATCTGAATTGGCAATTCCTGAGTTCAGCCAGAATGGAATGAATGAAGCAGGGAGAATTCTAGAACCTGAACCAGTGTGGCCCCGACCGCCAGAACTCAGTCTTCCCTGGGGGATCTGGATGTCTTGCGGGTTGCTTCAGGTGGTCTTGAGTGGCCCAGCCATACTACACAGTTCTAGATGCTTATTCCATAAACAGGCTGACATTACAGGGAGGGGGACATGGCAGCTAGGGCCATCTATGCTCCACCAGGGCCCATGGGATCCGGGCTCTCAAGATGTACCTGGAGACACTGCGTGGCGTCTGTCTGTACCCACTCAACCACCCGACGTTGATTTGTTCAAGGTACATCTGCCAAAAGGCTGCAGGAGATGGGATGGGGGCCCTGACGGCTTCAAGACTCAGTTACCCACAAGCAGCGTTATGCATGTGACTGTAGTGTCACCAAGTGACCACACTCACTGTCCTTACTGTCCAAATTTGGCCATGTTTTCTAAACCTAATACAGCTACGGTAAAATCAAAAGGTAATCTGTTAACTTGAATCAAATTTCTAAAATGAAACAGCATGGTAAGTGCTAAGGCACCGAATACCAGAAAGCCTGCATATGTTTAGACGCAGGCAGCTTTATTTAGGGAGGTTGCGTTAATGTTAAAATCCCACCCACACTCAAGGAAATGGAAAAAAAACTTAACTAAAAGGCTCCAGCCTCGGGAACCTTAATGTTTTAAATGAAAACAAATGCAAGGTTCCTTTAATAAAAAGCTCTAATCACATCTCTCATCATTTCAATAATCTCTATTCAACTACTACAAAAAAATGATATATTATGGCTTCTTCCCCATTCTGGAAAGCTGCCAAGTCTCCAAGCTAGCAAGCAGGGATGCCAGTACTATATTCAAACTCAAATACACCCCAGTTAACACTTAAACATAATAGGTAGAGTCATTAATGCGAACAGAAGAGCCTGAATTGCATGCATATTTATAAGGTCATCCCTTCTTGATTTATTGAACTTCCATGCAATATTACTATTTGAAATCTTACTATTTCTTTTCACAGCTGAACATGCTTAATCTGAGAATCTGTCTCCTTGCTACAGGCACTCCCAGGAGAAATATGTTCCCTTCCACTGGTTACAACATGGGTTTGTGTGTAATACTTCAAAACAAGATTCCCTGGCATCTTGGCCCCTCCGCGTTACTGTCCCAGGGCTCCAGTCACAACGGCCTGACAAACACGGTCTGTAGTTGAAAGTGACACTGGAGCCCCGGGCATCTAGGTTTTCCAACCAAATACAACGTGCAACACGAGGCGAAGACAGTATTCCACGGGCCGTCAAAGAACAGGCTCTATAAATACAAGGTCAAAACGTACAAAGCAAGAGATGATTTTATATATGTAAAAACCTTTAAAAAATAAAATAAAAAGACAGCCCAATTGTGTCAGTTATTGGTGGAATTTTTAGAGTCGCAAGACTCAGCTCCTAATCACTCTGAATTGTTTTGCACATTACTAATTCAGAAGTAGGAAAAAATAGAAGGTAATTGCTTTCTGAAAAAGCCACCTACTTTTCAGTGACATGAACATAAAGAGCTTTCTTTCCACTGTATATTGTTAGCGGCAAACTTTGACAGAATTCACATTTACATAGCAAACTTTCCCACCTGCAAATATGTTTTGAGGTGTGTTTTAAATATCAAGATTGTTTTTAAGTGAGAGACTTTTGGAATTACAGAAACAGAAGACCCTCATGTAATAAGCAAAACATGAAATTTTTTAAATCTATTTTTCATAAAATGTAAAATTTCCTAAAACATGCACTAAGAAACAAGTATTTGGGGACGAATATCAAATGGGATTCTGCAATATAAGCTTCCTCAATCTTTTAAAACTGGGCCAACGCTGTGAAATCAGAAACTTAAAGCAGGGTGGTATAAAGTCAAATTAAATATGCAAAACTCTATCAATTCTGATTTATACCCCTAATTTTAATACCCCAGTAAAAAAATAACACAACAAGGTGTTACCAAATGAGGACAGAGAGAAGCGCCCATATTCATTAAATAATAATGAGTTTCATTTCTAGTCCATAGGTTGGAAATTATATCCACACAACGAAGAGGCAGGAAAACCGAATTTTCTCGCACCCTTCAGGTTAGAGCCATATAGAGAGTGTGGGCAAGGAGAAGCAAGGAAAAGTTCCAGTCTCCACCTCTCCTGGCCCCTTAGCTTGCTCAGAAAAGTTAGCTTACAGTCCTAATAGAATTTGCTACTATCCCTGTATGAACTCAAGAGGGAAAATGACACTTTTTAAAAATGTGTCCTATCTCACATGATTCATAGAGGATATCACTCTTAGGACCTACAAAGTAGCTATCACAAAACATTAATAATGTGAGTCTTTGTCGTAGGAATACGTGTTGATTTGGGTTTTAGGAACCGTAAAAGCTGGTTGGTGGCCAAACAGGACTAAAATAAGTAATGGACAAACTCTTAAAGAGCATCAGTAAAATGTAAGGTACAAAATATAAGATACACCGCGTTTAAGTTAAAGGAATTGATAGCAGAGGGCTTCCTGCTTTGTCCATAAAATATCTTTTTCTTAGGGCGCCTGGGTGGCAGAGTCAGTTAAGCATCCGACTCTTGGTTTTGGATTAGGTCATGATCTCAGGGTCATGAGATCCAGTCCCGAATCCAGCTTCTCATTATGCGCAGAGTCTGCTTGAAATTCTCTCTCCCTCTCCCTCTCCCCCTCCTGTTCATGCTCTCTCTCTTTCTCTCTCTAAAATAAATCTTAAAAATATGTATCTTTTTTCTTTTTTCTAATGCACCTTAAAGGGCAGCAAAATAGGATACTATTTAAAATTAAATTTCTTTACCCAGAACCAAGTCTTGGCCAGGAGCAACTGAAAGGAATAAAACTAGAAGAAGGACACTAGAGCTCTAGAAGCAATTAAAGATGGGTGACCAACTTTCTTAGGCTTAGTAATGAGTTGAAATGAAGAGTGAGCAATTTTAAATACATTATTTAACTGTACTAAAGCATATTTATTCCATTAAAAAACAATAGAAATGGTATATATAGATAAAATTATCTGAAAGTGTAGCAACATTAACTCAGTAGAAACAATACTCACCGATTCTTCATCTTGAATCATCTGCACTAAGTTGTCCAACACAGGTGTCAGATTTCTAAAGAGATTTTAAAGATGTGGACAGTGGAATCAAATCAAAAGCTTTCACGAGGTTGCTTATTTTCATCATCATATAAAAAAAAATTCAAAACTCTTACTTGGATTTCATATTATTAAAATTTTTGCCTAATGCCAGGTGTTGTATTGATCTGTTTTTACTGAGCCACACTATTAAGGTGGATAGGTCAGATTCTAAACCTGGAAAGAATCAGAGTAAGCAGATAATCAAAACACATGTGCACAAATAAATTCTCAGCCGGAACACAATTAAGCAAAGGTGACATGAACTTGGATGACTTTCTCTACCATCCCGAGGGCCCTGGGATTCTAATCTTTCATTTTCAAAGGAATTTTTTGCTCTCTTTTCATGTCCTATTATTTCACAGGGATAAATTCATTCTCTCAGCAAGGGACAGGGAAAGGAGGAGTCTCATCTCTGCCCACGATTGTGTAAGAGAAGATTCTAACATCCCGTCTGCTGGTAGGTAACTTCAGCTGACTATGCGAACTAAACAGGCTCCTACTCACATGCTACTGTAATTCAGCAGAAGTGAAGCTAATGAAACAAGTTTCTGAGTAAATAAACAAGGATTTTATTTTATTATCACCAAGAATGCAAAAGGTCAGATCAAGATCGTTATTGATGTTCTGATGATGATTTTTTTTTAACTGACTTCTTTTTTTGCATTTTTGGCCATGGCATCAACTCAGCAAGACTTTTGGTATCGACTTATTCCATAAATAAATTCTGTTAAACTTAACAGCCCTATTGATCAAGAAGTGAGATAACACATTCATTAAGGTATTGTCTAGGTTGAGCTTTCTATTTTCCCCTTACTAACTTGCTTCAGATAATATTTCTGTTTCTTTTCTGGTTTCTGACTTACCATTATCAGAGATATCTAAGCTGGTGATGTTGTGGATTTCGGCGATGCAGCCTTCTAATACTTGTGCACCTCCTGATCTCAGCTGGAGAAACACAAACCACACACAAGGTGAAGCAGTCACCTACTGGACATGGAACCAAAAAATATTAAAAGCAGGAGATACAGTCTCCAACTTGGTGCCAAAGAACAAGTGAACGCTTATCAACTCCATAGCTACCATCAATGGTAAAGAGCCAATCACTAGTCATTGCTACTGTTTCCCATAGCACCGAACTCTGGAAATCGCTAGAAAAAGAAACAGAAGATGGAGCCCATACTCTGTGTCAGCATGGGGAACCAGCCTCTACCAGCCCACAAGAACTGTCTTCATTTCTGACTTTTGGGAACCTAACAATTCCCTTTTATACATGGGAAACTGATATGGATTTTGTTTGAATATTCCAGATTTCAGGGTAGAACTCCACCAAGTAGCAGCAAAACAATCAAAGGAGACAATGAAGATGAAGTGTTGTTGACTGTCATCCACTTCATGAAGGACCCAGGCCGCCTTCCCACCGAAACGGTGTGCAGTCTCACGATTACAAAGTAAACACTGAAAGGTGATTATGAAATGATTTGTATAAACTCATCGAGCCACAGAAGAAAAAGATGTTAGATCAATTTAAAATATTATTATGGTTGCCTTATAGCAAAACTAATTCTCACTTCATGACCTCATTTATTTAAAGAGACAGGCATCCTATAAGACTCAATACTTTGCATCTTTTCCCATAAAACCAAAAGCATATCTACAGAGGTCAGAATATCTTTTTATTCTCCACTCAGCAACTATTTGAGTTCCTACCATATGTAAAGGATTGTAAAGGATGCAAATTTCCTAAGCTATGGCCCCTTTGCCCGGCTAACTTACTATTTAATAAGGGAAAGAAACTATCATTTATTGGGAACCTATTATGTACTAAGGGAACATAGTGCTTCTCTATTGATAAAAGAAAATTAAAATGTATCTAAATTTCCATACCAAGTGTAAAATGCAAAATGCCACTCCCTAGAACTTGTGCAAGTTTTGATGTAAGACTTTAAAGAATCCTTATTTCACTATTTTAGATGCAATATTTTCATGGTACTTGGAACCCAAACCTGCCAATTCCCCTGGCTCCTTGGGTGTCAAGCAGTTTTGGGATTGCTCTTTATTCAGGAGTATTTCAGTTGAGGTATTTAAATTCGGCCTTCCCTACTTTCTATGGTGACAGCAGATTACTCTGGGGGACCCGAAGTGAACTCTAAAGGGGAGTGTCACACAGAGACACACCTGCCCAGGAGGCTGGTCTACAAACTCCAGGGAAACCAAGAACAATTAACCCCACAGTTGAGGGGCTTATAACCCAATGTGTGGAGCAATTGCAAGAATCAGCAGGTATTTTACTACATGTGGTTGTTATTCCCAGGCACTCTCGAGCCTACCCACATGTCCCGAGCCCAGCTTTATCACATCATCTCTAGACTCGCCCCGGCAGATGCTACTCAAAGTGTGGTCCACGGACAGGTGGCAGTCTGCAAAGTTTGCTACTGGTCTTAGGTAAAATAAGTACAGAAATTAACTATAAATATTTTAGAAATCTTAGCAATAATAATTTTAGGTCTGTTGCATCTAATAACAAAAAAAATGAGGGTTTGTATTTTTTATGTCTTTTTAAATCTTTCTTTTTTATATATTTTTATTGTATTTTTGCAAAAGTACCGGTTTATGATAAAATGGAAATTAAAAAAAAAATAACAACCAGGTTTTCACCACAAATAGTTTTGAGAAGCACGACTTCAGATCACAGCTTGTTAATACTTAAAGAAGTGAATGTATATTCAGACTACATCAAAGTTAAAGCAAAAAATATTTCAGACAAACACTTCGAAGAAACATAATTTGATATTCGGAGCATGAAAAATGACACTTTTGAGAAGATAAACATAAGTGCCTAAGTCTCCACAATTTGATTATTTGCTGTTAGTGATGTCTCTGTTGAGTAGTAAAATTTCTACAAGAAAATCTCTACTTGTTATTATTATAAAGTACAGTAAAAATATTCCATTTACAGATATGGAAAATACAGGTGACATTTAAGTGCTCAATTCTGTTTATTTTACAAATACTCTTGACTGATAATATTTGTAGCATATACCCATAAAACTAACATTTTCCAATAGCTAAAAAACAATCAAATATATCCACAGACCCTAATTTGATTCATAAAGTACTTACACAGTGGCCAAGCTAAGGAAAGCCCAAGGAGAAAAAATGAAAACACGTTATCAGCAGTAAACAGAACAGAGAAGCTGAAGCCTTTATCAATATACCATGTAAAAAAGCAAGAGTCAGAAAAACACTTCCAACTAAAATCTGCTCCCAAAACCAAAATCAAAAATTTAACTAAGAAAATAACTGATCCTCAGTTACCAAGAACATTCAATTGAATTCACAAGTTATTAGATGCCTAAAACCCCCCCAAAGCTAAAGCTTTCCCAAAACAGTAAAAGCTTTTCCATTACTGTAAATGAAAATCCTTTTAAATGAATTTGCATAATTAGAGGCTGTGTCTACATGTGTGCGTGTAAAACTGGTTTCTAAATTACCCTCATTTGGATCCCACACACTAGCATTATTTAAAAGAAAGCAAGATCAAGGAGGAGTCAATGTGACTGAATCACTGAATACTTTTTGAAAAGTTAAAAAATAAACTCACATTTCTTTCCACAGAGAAGTGCCCTCTCACTTGAGAACGGTGGAACATTTCAGATGTTACTCATAGTTCTAAGTGAACAGCTGCATCTAATACTCAAATAGCCATAATGGGGGCAAGAGAAGGAAGGAGAACTAAAATCTAGACAGAACTTTTATTTGGAAAATTCATTTTCCTTTGGGGCACACCTGGGGGCTCAGTCAGTTAACCGTCCGACTCTTGATTTCAGCTCAGGTCAGGATCTCAGGGTCCAGGGATCGAGCCCCGTGTCAGGCTCCCCACTCAGTTGGGAGTCTGCTTCTCTCCCTCTCCTTCTCACCCCACGCTCGTGCTCTCTCCCTCTTAAATAAATAAAACCTTTAAAAAAAATCATTCATTTTCTTTCTTCAAGATCACTTGCCATTTAAAAAGATGTGGCAAATATTACAGATTTAAAAATAAAATAACTCCCCAAATTATCATTGTTCTTCTACAGGGGTCCCAATTGCAATTAAAAAATATTTTTTATCCTGGGAAATTTTCTCGCCTAAAACTGTGAATAGCGTAGGTTTCTCCAAAGGACAAAAATGGTTTGACAAGATCGGGTTCAAACTGTCCTCTTGCTAGCAGGATCTGACGCCAAAAGGAAATTCAGAACCTAAGAAACTAGATATAAACAGTCATTTCCTAGGTGCAAACAGTTGTGTGTTTTATATTGCTTCCAATATGCTTCCTGCTGTGACAACAGTTTCCGCTTTGCATCCCACTCGCGGGGGCCCAACGGGAAACTGATCCGTGGGGGGGTACTACAGTTAGAACCCCCCCCAACACACACACACAGCACACCTGCCTTCGCACCTCAAAGCCGGGTGAAGCACTGTCAAGTCGGACGGAATTGCCTCAGAAGTTCCTATTCGCTTGCAGCAATGTCTACTCATTACAAATTTTAGTATCCGGGGCTCCTCTTTCTACATATCATCAAAGCATCTTGCCATGAACTGTGGAACGAGGTGCAGGGAAGTTTCTCCTTAAAAGAATTAACTCCACACCCAGATCTACACCTAATTCTCAGCTGTAATTAGCCTTTGCGTCTCCTTTGAAGCCTCGGAGATTTTTCTCTCACTTGGAAGGAGAGTGAGGTGGAAGAATTCAGTTGCAGCACTTACCTACTCTCCTGAAGGAGGACTGGGAAAAAGAGTTCTCAACACAGGACAAAATGACAGACCCACGGCCTCCCTTCAGGTAGACAGGTACGTGGGGAGAATACATCCACATGCCAATTTCACTACTACCATATAAAACAGTTCTGAAATGCTTCTTTTGGAACTAACTTTGAGGGCAATGGAACGCATTTCTTTGAACATCCACACGGATGCTGAATCCTTATCATTCTTACCCTTTGCGAGTGAATTAGGATCAGCCACAGGCCATTCAGAGACAAGTTGGGCCATAGAGGGTGATACGGTTTTGTGTTCGAAATCAGGTATGACTATATAATGGATGAGACTAATTCTTCTTGAAAGATTTAAAATAGCTTTGAAGGCAATTCCCAAAAATGTTTCAAAAAAGGCAGAATATATATATGGCTTCTAAATAAAAATTTTTCAGAAAGGCCATAATGACCCATGCTGTGAACTCTGACATTCAAAATAAGGCTTCACTGTAGTAATTCTCTTCCCTCCCAAATTACGGCCCACATGCGCCGGGCTCGGCACGGTGCCAAATACTGTCCCGCAAACTTAAAATCTCCATTCCACAGGTGAGAACCAAAGGCTGAAGGAAGGCAAGCCAAGTGGCTGAGCCAGGTTTCAGAGGGCACCTTTCTGATTCCAAAGTACCCACCCTTTGCAATGACCCCCTTTTGTCTCCCATGACTACTCGTAATCCTTTTCCTAGAGAGGTTTCTCCTTGTGGGTACTGAAAAGACCAAGGGAAAGAAAATGAACTGGTAACATAATTCAAGGGGGACACCTTAAGGAACGCAGGTGTTCTTTTTCTCTAAGTGGAGACGTTATGTATAAATGAAAGCTTAATTTCAATACTTATTAACTTAGCCCTCACAGATCAGAAGACTGCAGCCTCAAATTTAGGATTTAGGTTTCCAAAGAACAATGAAGTTTGTATTGGAGGAAAGCAACTCCACAGTTTGTAAACACCAGCATGGTACTTTTATTTTTAATAGCATTAAGTATAAATCTCCGTTCTCATTCAAACTGATGAACGTGAAATGCCTCTCTCAAGGAAATACAGAAATACTCTGAGAACCACAGGGACAACTCACCGGGACAGGTGAGCATGAACAGTGAAGGAAGCAGCAATGCTAAAATCAAAAATCATTTGCTTAAACCAAGCTTCTTATGTAGACACTTAAAAAAAAAACACTCAACTATAGTTGACACACAGTGTTATATTTGTTTCAGGTGTATAATACAGTGACTCAACAATTCAATACCTTAAATGCTCACAATGATAAGTGTGGTCACCATCTGACACCCTACAACGTTATTACAATACCACTGATCATATCCCCTTTTCCATCTCTATAAACAATTCTGACTTGAAAGTTACTTTCCTCTCTCCTCCCAATAAACTCAACCACCATCTTAGATGATGGCCATTTATCTTCTGTAACACCCATACAAACCTGATTTTAAAATTAACCAGTGGCAAGTAGCTATTTTGTAAATAAAAGGAACTATTTACTTATAAATATACAAAGACTTCACGGTATTTCACATTTGTTCTTTGCTGCCCTGGCTGGGGTAGACTATTGTAGGAGAGGCATCATTAGGGGAGGATGAACTTGTTGAGTGCCCACATCAGAAACTGTCCAGTATTCTATGTTGGACAGGTGACTCTTTTCAGGTCAGCCCCTCACCTCAAGTCAGTCACCCCTGTGGAAATGACTTCCAAGATGACATGGTGTCAGGGAGAAGTTTCATCCCCACCACCAGAGGTGGGGAAATTTATCTAATCGTAAGGGAGCGTGAAGAATTTTGATTGGCATGCTCACAGTAGAGGGGATTGTGTCTACTATGGCTAAAGAGAGAATGAACAGAAAAAAATAGACACATGCAGAATTTTAAACTTCCAAGTCGGCAAAAGAGTTTTTCTGAGAGCACTACCTAAACTCTGAAGTGTCAAATCACTAAAAGGGTTAGCAGTTAATACTCAAATGGCCAAGCATTCTACACAGACAATATCTCTCCTTTACCGGAGAGATTTACTCTATCGTGGAGAGGAGCAAAGTGAAACCTAGTTAGATTTGGACACCTGTCTGTAAGAAGAAAAATGTGATAAGACGCCTTAATTTAGAAAAATAATTTGGTGTTTCACCAATTTCCATGAGCAGCAATATAAGGTGACTTTATAAATGTGGCCCCTGGGACTGTGATTCAAGCGTTAAGATGGTGGGAGAACATGGCACCAAGGTAGTCTGGAGGGTCCCCATCTCTCAGCAGTACCGCTGCATCACAGAATCCATAAACGAATGGCCAAAAGGAAGTTGTAATTATCATCATCGTAATGGCCAACCCTACCACCAGAGAGCAATCATTTGATCTGGATTCCTGCCTTAGTAAGAAAAAAATTATAAAGGAAAAGTCTAGGAGACATTGGGTGGAACCATATGAAATTGCCAACAGCCTGCCATTTCTGACCTATAAAAATGTCAATTTTATCAGTTCGCCAAATAGAACTGTCTTTTAAAGTTATTCCCAGTCGGATCACAAAGGAGTTTAAAGAACAAGCTACACAGTGGTATAACACAGTCTTCTTTGGGCATATGGCACCTGACAACTTATTTGAGAAGAAAATGTCTAATCATACTTGGTGTTCTAATAATTACCCATATGATTAATAACAATCAGGAAAGCATACTTTCATCATGACTCTGCCATTAGTAAGCCGGATTATTCCAGCTTCTTTAGAACTCGCTTTCTCCATCTGTAAGTATGGAAAACAGATGATCACTTACGTCCCTTCCCATTTTGATCACAGAATTAAACGGAAGATGTTGTACTGAGAGCAGTCACTATATTTAATGAGGAAAGTAAAACATCTGGGTCATTCAGTAGTGTGAGTTAGTAGAGCAATCAAGTTTATACCAATTTGCTTTTTTTGATAGAATAACCCTTCCTATCCCCATTCTTCTTACTCCTCCCCCCATACAAAAGTTTTTACTACTGCCAGGTCCCGTAAGAAAGTATTGGTAAGCAATTAATTCGTATTTCCAGACTTGGTTTCTGTTATATGATCTGTCTTTATAAATAAAAGAACACTGGGGGCGCCTGGGTGGCTCAGTCAGTTAAGTGTCCAATTCTTGATTTTGGCTCAGGTCATGATCTCAGGGTTGTGAGATCAAGTCCCATGTTGGGCTCTGTGCTCAGCACAGAGTCTGCTTGAGATTCTCTTTTCCCCTCTCTCTGCCCCTCCAGTTGTGCTCTCTCTAAAATAAATAAATAAATCTTATAAAAAAAAAAAAAAAGAACACTGATTTACACATGAAAATTTGACAGTGCACTTTTTTAGGGGTTTTGTGGATTTTGTTTTTTGTTCCTTTTGGCTTTTCTTTTTTCCAAACAAAATGACTAGTAAATCGCACACAGTTGGTATTAACCCCCAGTTCAAAAAAAAAAATAAAAAAACCCTGCACTAACAATTTACATGGTATGATTTCAAACTTGTCAGTTTCTAGAACTTTCAGAGAGGTAAAGCATCAATCTTCAATATTTAGTGTTAGGCTTGGTACCTGGCATTTTGTTAGGAGCTAAGGGAAACACAAAATGAATAAGACACAAATAGTATCTTCCGGAAAGTTACAGCCTAGCAGGGAGAGCACACAGGTGCTAATCGAACAGTTGCGCAGGACACCCTATGGGTCACTGTCCAAATGCACGTCACCATCATTAAGTACCAGACAATCAGAAAAGAACAAGATCGCCCAGGGCTGAAGCAGTCAGGGGGGAAATTCTACAGACAGATAAACAACAAAAGCAAATAACCCTTACATGTCCCAGATGCCCCAGGAAGAAGCGCTTTGCGAAGCACAGCTCCTCTAAACCCCATAATGAGCCACTGGGAGAGGCACTAATGTTGCTACATTTTGCAGATGCATACACTGAGATCTTGCAGTCTCGTCTAATTCATGCAGGACCACATAGCTAGTAAAGACCAAACTCGGATCGAAGCCCAGCAGTCTGATGCAGGCATGGAGGAGACTGGACTTGAGCTAGATCCTCAGAGAGGGGAGCCTTGGGGAAGAGGGACATGGCAAATGTGTGGCAGGAGGAGAGAAGAGTGGGCAGAAAGGCCCAGGAGCAGGCATGAAGGGACATCAGCTCCAGCCCTGATAAGAAGGAACCACGTACGACGTGCTGAGCGAAGTCAGGCTCTGAATTCAGGGGCCGTGTGGCTTGTACCTGGGTCTTTTCTTACTGGTCTCCGCACAAACTGAAAATCTCAAGACTAAAAGTTCAGGTACCCTCTAAAATGTAGAGGCTCTTAGTCTCAAATTATCTTGGTGTTCTTAGGAAGGGTCTGGAATTGCTGTAATTTTGAGAAGCATCTTAATTTTCCTGTTTTAAACCAAGACATTAAAAAATTAGGCGAATGACAAGACAGTCATTCTCTTGCACACACTCTGAATCCAAGTCAGGTTACACGCATCTGTCCCCTGCGAGGGACATAGAACATTGCATTTTTCGTAACAGTAAAGCTAGTCTATGGCTTTTGTATCTCAAGGCTTCATCATAAAATACTTAAGTAACTGGCGCTAAGAATGAATAAAAATAAAAAAACCCAAGTCATTAAAAACACACTTGAATGCTTTCTGAATGGCGTTCTGTGGCTGTTTGTAGATAAAACTTGCAAAATACAGAACATCAGAAACTTCTTTAAAATGTGTGTTTTTCTGCTTCATTTATACCCTCTGGATTCACAGCATCACAATTTCCAGGAAAGAGGCAAAGCAATTTTGAGGCTATCATAATCTCTTCCATCCTGCAGTCTGAACGTGTTCTTACCTCACAATTGCTGAGATCAAGAGAAACCCCCTTCAAGTTATGATTGCAAGCCAGGCCCAGCAACAGTGCTCTGAGGGGAGAAAACACACACATTAGACACAGATTCCATAGGCTGCACCAAAATATGTTCGCACGCTGAATAAAGCCCAGAAAAGGTCAAGCACCATGTCAGGTTTTAGAATGCCAACTGCATTTCTTCCTCAGACACAGTGAGAACTGACGCTGTAACATTCTTCTGTCTGACTCAGAGCAGGCCTATTCCGAATGCTGGGACCGCTATTCCTATGCAAATAAACCAACAGTACCCCTAACTGCACCCTGAAATTAAACGGTGTTCATCACAGGTCAATTCCCACCTGCATCTGCTTGAGAACACCTTTAATATTGTTTAGAAAATTATTAGGCAATTGTTATGAGTAGCAAAATCACATTGGTTTTCCCCAAGGAATAGATTATGAGGGAGTCAGGCTCTGCTGTATCCAGGACCAGAAATTACCGTCTACGGAGAGAGTGTTTTGTTTTGTTTTGTTTTCCCAGCATCTACAGCAGGAGGTAGGAAGACAAGAGCATGGGAGGTAAGGCCCAATCCCGGAGTCTGAGTCCAGGATCCTGCCTGTCTCTCCAGCTATGACAGGCTGGTCTTGGGGCAAAGCACATCACCACCGTGAAGAGGAATGTTCTGGTCTGCATGCTGAGGAGACTGGACTAATCATGTGGCTCGCATCTCTAAGAGAATAAATCAGTTCCACCTGCTCAAGTCAGTCCTGTAAAGTCTAACACCCTTCAGCAGGCTTGACGCAACAATTTCACACAGGCACACACAACCATCAATCACGCCGAAGGGATCAAAGACCTTAACCGGGCCCTGGGAGGAACACACAGGTGAGCATCAGAGGGCTCCTGCTCTCGGGCAAGGACAATGTGTGTGTGTGCGCGCGCACACGCACACCACTGTCAGACAGGCAGACAGGAGCGAGTACTGGGGGGGCAGGGGTGGACCCAAGGCATCGGCTCCTCAGGGGACTACTGGTTCTCAGTGTTCCCATATTCTCCACCCCATATATTCCACAAATACCCCGGGGTAGGAGTGAGGTGGGAAGGCACCTCTTTCACATCAGTCTCTGGGATCCCCCCTTCCAGTGACTCTGGCCTCATCCACCCACTGAACGAGAGAGCTCCCACGGTGCGCGTGGGGCCCACAAGCTGGGCTGCTTCCAGGAAAGAGTGCTGGAGGGGGGTAGTGCCTTTCTTCTCATTCCTTCAACCCAGTTCGCCAGTCCCTTCTTCTAACACTGGCCGATGAGAAGGGCTGGGCAGATCTCATCTGTGCACATGCTCCTGCTTTATTACTTGTTAAATTGCTTCTCTTTCCCCAACAAGTGCTTCCCCCACCCTCTTTCCTTCTTGGGGGCAGTACTGGGCCGCCGAAAGCGCCTAGGACATGGAGAACCCAAAGGCCAGTGCCAAGTTCCTGGCTCTGTACCCACAGAGGGTGGCTCCCAGGATGTCACACATCACTTTTCTCTGTCTCGGGCGCTCATCAGCAAAATGGGACAGTCAGCACGTTCCCAAAGAGGTCCCTTCGAGCTCTAATATGTGCTGAGTTTCTAGAACCCAGCCACATATTTAACACTCTATTCTTACAATGCTTACGTGGAAGGGAAATTCTTCCTGCTCACCTGACAGGTAGATTAAGGCCAAGGAAACAATGGTGCGCTTTCAGATATTTAAGGACAGTACAGAAAAACCAGTCATGAAGATATAACAGCTCCTCAGACTGGCAAATACAAAGAACCCAAAGCAACCGTAAAACAAAACCAAAGGGAACAATGACTAAGCCTAGCTCGCACCGGGGAAAGCTCCACAGCAGGAAGCGTTGTTACTTTTCATGCAGTCAGTGATGGAAAAATGGCCTTAACGATTGTCCTCTCCAATCCTCCATCATTACGGCAACACTGGTTAAGAGAAGAATTTGTATTTCATTTCACGAGCTCTGGATATGTGATGCGAGTTAGCATTTCTGAGAAGCTCATGCAATAGGTTTCTTAAAAATCTTCAGCCTGGGAGATGGGGAGAAGGGGGACCGTGTGACAGGGAGCAAGGAAGTCCACAGGGAAGCAGGGACAAGGGGAAGAAAGCCAAAGTGCCAGCATGAGCAGTAAAAGGACCTCAGGCCTCACTCCGCGTGACGCGGGAGCGAGGAGCATCCTCCAGACGCACGGGAGCCACACTGAAGACTTTAGGAAACACAAGGAACAATGTCACCACGTTCTTTACTAAAACCCCTGTGGCCTGACAAGTCTGCAAGGAAAAAGCACAGCTATGAAGTAAGCGGCCATGGTCTTTGGTCGTTTTTGAAGAAGCCCCAGATTGTGGGGGACCTCTGCAGAACACTGTGATGCCCAAACTTAGAAGGTTTCTCTCAAAACCATTTGCATTGCTTTAGCATATTCTCTTATGGCTGCTGACCTCCAACCCCTCAACAAGCTAGGGTCTCCGTCCGCCCCTCTTGGTGTCGGGGAAGGTGGTGGGGCAGGCACGTCGGGAGCCCGTGCCCGCTGGCGGGCACCACAAAGAGCCTCCCAGTACCCCCTCAGCAGTCAGTCCTCCGGGGCGCGACCTCAGCCAAGGAAACGTGCCTCCCCCAGGCCACATCCTTCCAGAGGCAGACTATACCAAGGACGGATCAACACGGGGTAGAAAATCCGAGTCTCTGTCCCCGACACGCTATGCTCCATCTCAAAGTCGGCTTCCCAAGAAACCCGACCTGCGGCCATGGGTTTGGTTAAATTACCGAGCTTCTGGGGCCTCCATTTCCTCAACTCCAGACTAGGAATCACAACACCTGCTCACAACTGCTGTCAACATTGAAGTAGGAGCCTTTTCCCTCACACTAATATTTTTATTAAGTGAAACAGAGAGCTGAAGAGATTACTGACAGGACACTATTAAATACTCACATAAATAATAGCAGGTCACAAGATTTAACAATTACAAAATAACTTTGAGGCATAATTTTTATCAGCAAGTCTCTATAATAAACAGTACAGTAAAATCCAGTGTTGTGGTGGTGTGGAATATTCTATAAAATCACTAATGCTAATCAATGAAGAGCTACTCTGTATTTCACAGGATCAAGAACACTGAAAGAACTGGAATACTGTGCACCTGTCAGTAACTTTTGAATAAGCAGATCTCTTAGCAGTACACTGACGGCAAGGATCAAGTCTGGATCTGCTTTCTACCCAGTGCCCTCCTCATATCCGGCACATTGTAAATGCACAGTAAGTATTAGTTCAATGAATGAATGAATGAAGTAAATATGACTAAATTCTAATGGATCCCCCTTTAGAATACTGATTCCATTAGTTTGACTGATATCCACACAAACAGCCTCATCATGAGACTTTTACTATCTGGAGCTGTTACATCTACAGACCTCTAATACATTAACTCAATGTTTAAAAAAGAAAAGGCCTGCCATATACCATCGGATTTCTTTCTTAGCACTTGACTAGATCTACTGTCCTTAAGGACATCCATTGTTTTGGTCTTATGGTGCCATATGAGATACTGCAATCAATTTCACACCTCTCAAAAAGAAAAAAGGCAAGTCACAAATTAGATAAAGATTAATTTTCTAGTAAAATGAATAGAAGACACTGATTTTAACATGTCATACAAATTACAAGGGAAAAATTAAATGCTGATTTACATGCCAACTAGGGAAAGGAGAAATCTGTGCATGCATTTGAGAGCATGTGACCTGTATATATTTGTAACTACCTGAAAATATGTTTTTTAGACTTGTAGAGAATTTGATTCTATAGCCCTTCTGATTATTTCTGGCAATGGTGAACAGAAACTTCAAGGATGACAAATTATCCTCAAACTTTATTTTATTTTTTTTTTAAAGATTTTATTTATTTATTTGACAGAGAGAGGGAGAGAGCACAAGCAGGGGGAGTGGCAGGCAGAGGGAGAAGCAGACTCCCCACTGAGCAGGGAGCCCGACACGGGGCTCGATCCCAGGACCCTGAGATCATGACCTGAGCTGAACGCAGACGCTCAACCGACTGAGCCACCCAGGCGCCCCCTCAAACTTTATTTTAAAGAGTTTAACTTCACCGCTAGGGATATTAACCCATTAACTAAGTTGACTGCCAAGTCAACACACCAAACAGACAGCGTCTACTGACCTAAGTAATTCAGGAACTAAAGCATCTAAAAACTGATTCTGCTGCATACACACTGTGTAGAGTTTATTATGGCTAGGAGAAATATGGAGAAGAAATATTGACTAGAACACACACATGAAAATACCTAAAGTGGGCTTAACAGAGGTTAACATAAAGGCAGTGGTACCTGGGAATACAACTTTTACAGATCAGTGACAACTGCCAAGGTCACAACCCAAAGATTTTTTTTTTCCACAGAAGATGAAATAATATCAATAGTGCACAATGTACTCAAAAAAGAATGTGATTTCCTTTTGTGCCCCAAAGTGAGAAAGGCATTTTCATCTGCTTGGCCTGCATTAGGATTACGTGTCTTCTTCTTCCCTTCCCTTAAGCACATTCATAATAACAAATTGAATGTTAAAAGCTCTGGAAAAAATGAATTAACGACTCACTTTAACGGCTCAGGAGACAGTTTTGTGCCTGAAAGGTTGAGCTGCATCAGAGACAGAGAGCTACTGAAGAACTGTTTGAAGGACGGGGGTACTTCTTTTCCTTTCCTGAAAAACAAAACGCAAGAGTCATACCACTAACAGTTATACTTGGGGTCGGGTACCTCACTTCCAGATTGGCAAAATTACCTGTTGGTTATTCAGACACTGGGAAAAAAAAAAATCCATGAATCCATTATATTTTCGGTAGAAATTTAAAGGTAAAAAGAAACAAAATGTCTGGAAGCTAAATAAATCCAATACCATCAAAGGAACAATGCAAGAGAAGTTAAGACATTTCATTTAAGTCCTTAAAACCACTGCCATTCTTTGTAGCCAATGATCTCAAAGTGTGTTTTACCCACAGATCTCCTTGTTTGAATTTTTAAGAAACTGGGAGGTCAAAGAGGATGTCTATTTCTCACAATTTAATGAGCTTTCCCTCTGAGTGGCACTGAATACTAAGGATCGTTACGTGCACTTGGCAAAACTCTTAGACATGGCCTGTCTCAGATGCAACAAGATGTGACCTAATGGCGAACTCAGGAACAACACAGAAAGTCTGATTGGCATGAAGCCTGCGCGGCAAAGATCCTGCTCAGCTCCTATATCCATAGGGCAAATCTAATCATTTTAGGCCAAATATTCAAAAAAAGACAAAACTCCAAAGAGATGGCTATGAACTGCAAATATGTGCCCTTGTTGTTACGGGCAGAAATCCTACATTTCAAAAAGAAAGTAGAGTCAACGCCACACTAGGAGGGCTTTGGGAAAACAAGAGCCCAGAGTCAAAGATGGAATGTGAACCCTTAGCTTGTTTTGTTCTATCTGCTATAGAAGTGATGGCAGGATTAAGTCCACATGCGTGAAGCACTCAGCCTGACGGAGAGTAAACACTCATTTAATGGTATTCTATAATTATACTCTGTGGCAGATTCAGAGTCTCAGGGCAGAGGCCAGGCTAGAGTCTAGCTCACCCACATAACATTCAACAATATTTCTTGTACAGAGGTCCAGGAAAACCTATGTGAGAAAAAGGTTTTAAAGATTTTTTTTTTTAATTCATTTGAGACAGAGAGATAGAGAGAGAGAGAGCATGAGGAGAGAGAGGTGCAGAGGCAGAGGGAGAAACAGGCTCTCTGCTGAGCAGGGAGCCCGATGTGGGGCTCCATCCCAGGACTCTGGGATCATGACCTGAGCCGAAGGCAGAGGCTTAACCCTCTGAGCCACCCAGGCACCCCAGGAAAAGGTTTTAAACAAGATAATTTTAGGCTACCTGAGAATAACTACCTAAGCAACCAGAATCTCTAAGAGGTTGAAAATAAATTTAAGAGGAAAGGGAATTCTGGTACAATATATATTAGATGTCTCCAATGAACTCTGGCTCCAAATAGTGAAACAATATAAGCTTGAATACTCCTGTTCATTTTTGATGAACAAATGTTGTTAAAATACTCTCTGAAGGGGCACCTGGCTGGCTCAGTCGGTTAAGCATCTGCCTTTGGCTCAGGTCATAATCCCAGGGTCCTGGGATCCAGCCCTGCATTGGGCTCCCTGCTCAGTGCGGAGCCTGCTTCTCCCTCTCCCTCTGCTCCTCCACCCTCCACTCATGCTCTCTCTCTCTCTCACTCACTCTCTCTCTCTCAAATAAATAAAATCTTAAAAAAAAATACTCTCTGAATGTAATTCTCCTCCTACTACTTTGTCTAGGTATCTACTGTACCAATGTTTCCAAGTATTCACTGCCCCTTTCTGTGGGAGGATGATGCTTCATCCCCCTACTGCTGGCAGACATGGCCATGCGAGTCCCTTTGGCCAAGGGGACATCACATCAGACAGAAGTGATGTGTGTGACTTCCAGAGAGAAGCTGCACCAGCCAGTATGAGCTGTGACTCTTTTTCCTCTGCGACGTGGCTAGAGATCTGCCTTTCAGATTAAAGGCAATGTGGCCAGCCCATAAGGGACATGTCATAAGACTACCACTGCTGAAAGCCATGGAGATGGGGGTGGGGAGGGAGGACCATTTGTTACTACAGAGCAACCTAACCTATCCTGACTGACACACTTACGAACAAAAGTATGAACAGCCTGGCTGACAGTCCACAGCTCAGTGTAAATGCATCAATTTCAAGATAATCACTAAGGGCTTGCTAGGATTGTACCTAGGTAAGGTGCTGGGTATTTAATCATAACCTCTCATTTGGATGACAAGCTGATGTGTTAGTACAGTCCTGCTCTGTAAGCTTAACAGCTCTACTGAAGACCAGTCCTCACAGAGAAGGCGCCTGGGTGGCTCAGTCAGTTAAGCGACCAATTCTTGATTTCAGCTCAGGTCATGATCTCAGGGTCCTGGGATCGAGCCCCGCATCAGGCTCCATGCTCAGTCGGTTTATCTCCCTCTCCCTCTGCCCATCCCACCACCCACGTGCATGCGCGCTCTCTCTCTCAATCTTAAAAAAAAAAAAAAAAAGACCATTCATCACAGAATTCATAGTATATGAACCCAAAAAAGCTGATTATGTGAAAATTTCTTTTATGACATCATCTTCCCAATTCAGCTGCTCCGTCCATCACAGCTTCCTCCAAAGCATGGCTTCTTAAAAAGCTTTCAAATACATGAGGTGACTGGGTAGTCTCAATCAATGCCTTGAAGGCCCTCGAAATAGTGTCGTAGAAAACCCTCAACTTCTCCCACCATTATAAACGCTTCACTCTCTGACCGTGTCTTATTCTGTTGAGGTGCTTGTGGCATATTTTTGCTCCTGTAAAGATTTACTTCACTGTTGAAGTGATGGACCGACTATGCTTTAAAATATAGAATAACTTATTCATGAGGCACAACTGTCGAATAAAGCAGGCTGAACAAGCAAATTTTCCAAACAAGTGAGGGTTATCCCTTTGAATATACAAAGCTTTCAAAATGGTAACTTATTAAAAGGGAGGTATTTCAGTAGTCAGCAACTCTCCCTATTATTAAAAAGCACATGACGAAAATATGGTTTATGATTATGGTCATCATTATGAATGCTAAGTGTTGTATTAATGCATTAGATGGTCCCAGAATTTCACAGGTAATAACCCATGTATTTTTTTTTTTTTTTAAAGACTTTATTTATTTGACAGAGAGAGAGAGACAGCGAGAGAGGGAACACAAGCAGGGGCAGTGGGAGAGGGAGAAGCAGGCTTCCCGCGGAGCAGGGAGCCCGATGCGGGGCTCGATCCCAGGACCCTGGGATCATGACCTGAGCCAAAGGCAGACGCTTAACGACTGAGCCACCCAGGCGCCCCATAACCCATGTACTTTTGATAACTTTTCTTTCTTTTCCCTCCATTCTAAGTTGCGGCTGTTTGTGAATACTTGGCTGTTTCTAATCTAACACCCTACACTGCAAACAATTCTAAGTCAGGAAGGTAGAAGTGAGGTGCTCAGGCTGGCCCTACAATCCTACACATTAAAATTCATGAATCTGGGGGCACCTGGGTGGCTCAGTCAGTTAAGCAGCTGACTCATGATTTTGGCTCAGGTCATGATTTCACGGTCGTGGGCTCGAGCCCTGAGTCAGGCTCCATGCTCAGCATAGAGTCTGCTTGAGATTCTCTCTCTCCCTCTCTCTCTGCTCCTCCTTCCTGCACTCTCTCTCTCTCTAAGATAAATAAATCAATCTTATTAAAAAAATCATTAAAAAAAATCCATGAGTTTGGGACCGGCCATACTCTCTGCTCCCCAGAGGGAGTTTATAGTTGCTTCCACGTTCATTGTTGAGAAGTCCCTTCTAAAAGAGCTTTTACTGTATTAAGAGAGAGTACCCATCCTCATGGGACAAGCAGTTACTAGACAGTTCACATAGCAGGCTGGGGTGATTGCTAAGAACATCCATCATACTGCAGTGAAAAAATACAACAAAAACTTGCACTTTCAAGGCCTTGTATTCACAGATTATCATTTAAGGCCACCTCCCTTCACGCACAACATGCATCCTTTATCGTTCTGTTTTCAGATCACCACAACCTTCTCTGGGAGGAAGACACTCCTAGATGACAATGGTGGCAGGTGTAAAACCATACCGGTGAGAAAAGACAGCTCTGGAGAGATTGAGCACAGCTAAATATTGGAGGCATCCCCGGAGAAGAGCCGCGCAGACCTGAGAATGAGAGAAAGCACTCTTAAGTTTCCAATATTTCAAGGCCTAAGAGAACATTTTATTAGAGAGAAAACCCTTCTCTATCACCCCTAAATGGCTGGTTTGACACCCCCAGCACAGTATCAAAAAAACATTACCATGTCCAGGGAACATTCTGTATTGGATAAATCCAGATGAGCAATGGCATTTGGCTGGGCCAAAAAACTGTACATGTACTAGAAATAAAAAACAAAAAAACAAACACATTAGGATCTGGAAGCACACACGCACGTTAATATTTTAAAAAGAAGTTGCCCAAATCCTCCCATAACCATTCTCTAATCTTCCCAAGAGGATGAGCAGAATTTCATGTCATTCCATGGCTTTCCCCGAGAGCGAAGTTCCAAAGAATATTTAAAATAAAATTATGTTTGAGTTAAAAAAAAAGGCCAAATGAACTCCTGGCTGCCAAACCCCCTTTTGTTACACATGACTTAGTTTTCCTGATTAGCTCCATTTTTATAATTTTGGAGCAGTGCTAATTAATTTTAACTGCTGAGATTAAAATACCACCTGAATAGCACTCACCCTATAAAAATGCTAATCACTTTTGAAAGTGCTCAAAGATCCACTAATTTGAAATTTGAACCATCAGATGGTCTTGGGCTACACTTTCTTCCATCCAAGACAATGATTTTTTCTATCCTTAGTTACTTCCAAAATCTAACAAGAAAGGGTCTGATGGCACTACTAGTTTAGGTTTGTTTTTTTTTTAAATCTCATATATAGTTCAGACACGTCAGGTTTCAAAGGGTCACAATGCCTAAACTCTCCCTTATTCCTGTGCAAGGCCATCAAAACAATACATGTAAGAGTCCTCTGTTCTTCTCTACTTGCCCTGAGTAGCAACTGCTAGGGTCCACCAATAACAAACCGAGTTCAAGCTCCTGCCACCAGGAAAATAGCTAAATTCTCCTTGGCTTCTCTGGATGCCACCAGATCCTTGCAAAACCAAACAAGCTTACACCGAGATGTCCTCATCCTTAGCAAAGACTCACAGGGCAGTGGCTTAGCTCTATCATGCTTGAGCAAAATCCTCTCTACCAAGGAATTCAGAAAAGCAAAAGATTAGCCCGTAAACACTTGAGAATAACTAGACACACACAACAGAGTGGATTATGAGAAGTTCTGATCCAGAAAAATAATTTGCTCTCACTTCTGTAAAGATCGCTGCATCTCTCCGGCTTTGCCTGGCATGTGGGTTTTCCTCTTGGCCACCAGCTGGGGGAGCTCTAATCACCCTCAATTGGTGACAAGACCCTACTTGGCCAACACCCCGCCAAAGAGGCAGGTCCAGCTAGGCTGCTGGCCCTGAAGGCAAGGGCTGGGTAAGCCCCTCCCAGCACCTGCTGCAGGGCTCCCAGAACCTCCCAGAACCTGTCCAGGGCTGGGAGCCCACTCACGCAGGCCTCACGGTTCCACTTCTCTTTCCCCAGAGGCAAGCCGGAACAAAACCCACCCTCGGCCACCCTCAGACCCACTCCTGGGCTACTTTGCTAACTACCTAAGTGACTATGAATGCCCCTATGTTGGCAGAGTCTTATTATTTAATCTTTGGGCTCCTCTTTTATCCCTCTATTTCTCTAGTTTGCCACCGTAATGTCTTAGTGGTTTCCCATCGGACTCCTGGTTTCATCTTGGGAGGGAGCAGATTTATGAATCATCACTGAAGGTGATAGCTAACATGGGGCAATGCATTGAAAAAGTCACGGCACACCAGGAAACAGGATTGCTTAAAATGGGTTCAAGAATCAGAGAGAGGGAAGAAATCCTACAAAAAGGACTGTGGCAGTATTCCCTGCCTTACAGGGAAAGTAAAACATAAGAGAAATGGGACTCAATTTCACAGTGGTTTTCACCCCCATAAAGAGGTAGGACACACATGAAGGTCCTTAGAAGACGCACACTTGTTGTAGGCTCTACATGGTAAGGGAGCATTTCTTCTAAATTCTATCATGGTGACCAGAGAGGACAACTCACCAAATCTGACATGAGATCACACCTAATTCATTGTACCAATATGATCTGCCAAACATTTATATCACTGATTCAGCTGCACGAAAAATCTTTTCACTGAGGGGAAACGTTCTGCCATCAAACTCGAACTTATTTAAAGAGTGGCCCCAGTGTATTCCCAACCCTTCCCTCTCCCTACCGTATTCATGAAATACAGGACTGGCCTTTATCGCAATATCCTCTTTCAATTGCAAACTATTAAAAAAAAAAAACAAAAACCTGTCCTCTTAACAATATTATTTAATGATGAAGTCATTCGATTTACATTTCTAATCTTTCTTATCAGGCAATTTTAAGAGGTCTGATAATGCTTAAAATGAAGGGGGAAGAAAGGTCCTTTAGAAAAAAAGTGTTTCCAAAAAGAATTCACACTTTAGCAACATTCAGTTAACAGAGGAAAACATCTATGTGCTAAACTACATTAATCAAGGACGGCTCTGGGTTTTTTCTCTAAAACACATCCTAAGCTCATAACTAAATGATCTGAAAGTATCATGATAAGGCGAGCTGAGGAAAGCCATGTTTGCAAATTATGCCAGGCTTATGGAATACAGCGCCTTTGAACATGACTGTGAGGAAAGGGAAACTTACCGAGAGGTCGTCTCCGCGAAGGACGTTCCCTGAGAGGTCGAGATGGGTAAGGGTGGTGGCAGTCAACGGGTTGGCACTGAGTGACTGAGAAAGGCTATTCACCCCTGCAACGTGAAGAAGATCCAGCTCAATTTCCACTCCAGGAAACAAAAGGGGGTTTGGGAGTGTCTATAAATGACCCCATCAAATTGCAGGACTGAGGTTAGCCACAAGTACTGTCCCCAAAGGTAGGACTGTCTTCTTTTAACCTCCCCTCGGGGAGAACAGGGGAGTCACGGACACAGCCATCTGAGTAGGAGAAAGAGACAGAATTGGTTTCATTCTGCTCCACTTCTGATGTGGATGGAAAGGATCTGACTTGAAAGTCCTAGAAGGATGCACGCAAGTCTAACTGGTCATTTCTGTCTTTCTCTTAATTCTGCTTGGTGTTCCTGACTTAATGTACGGGATTTAAGTGATGCAGGTGCGCCTTCAGGCACTTCTCACTACTTCAGGTACTTAGAAGTTAATATAGGAGTCAGATAACTGTTCTACCTAATATATCATACTCAAGGCAGAATTCAGAGGGAAATGGATTTTTACAAAGACTGAGAACATGATCCGTATACAATATAAGAAGCAATCGAAAGGAAAAACGGATAATTGACACTCTATACACTATTTACACACGTAACATAAATGGCTCGAGTCAAAGTCAACTGAACTGAACTGAATGGGTTATTACCACCTCAAAAAACAAAGAATAAATACATGAGGAGGGCAAGAGTGTTCTGTGAGGTGAGAGCCACGTTCTTTCTCTATGTGGGTTAACAGTCATGGAGGCATGGCTGTTGGTGGGTCCTCCTCAAGCCACTTCTCTCCACGGGGGAAGGAGAGGCTCCAGAAGGTGGTCCCTACAAAATGGGAGCCCAGAAGAGTCTGGCTGCTCACCGGGATTTGAAGAGGTCAATATCCACGATAGCACTGATGCTCATTCTTAGGGTAACAAGGATAGGGGACACAGCAAAGCTCTTCATGTTTCTACAGTTCACAGTTTCAGTTTGTATATTTTGGAAATATGGCGATTTCTAAACTGGATATACATTCATAAATTTTTTTTTCAGTAAAATTCTTAAAAATCCCAGCCTGTCTTGAGCACCCTACAGGGACACAGGAAAGGGGGCTTCGGTCCACACTTGCATAGACCTTCCCCGGGATAAGGGATGGGGTAGGGCCTGCCAGTGGGAGACAGAATTGGTCACAGCAGCAGGATGAAGCAAGGCACTCCAAGAAAAGAGCAGAGAGGGTCCCAAGGACAGCCCTGCACTGGAGCAGGTCTCTGCTCTAAGTTTAGAATGTTTGTGTTTTTTTTTTTTAAAGATTTTTCTTTCTTTATTTGACAGAGAGAGAGCACAAGCAGGGGGAGAGGCAGAGGCAGAGGGAGAAGCAGACTCCCCGCTGAGCAGGGAGCCCGACATGCGGCTCGATCCCAGGACCCTGGAATCATGACCCGAGCCGAAGGCAGCCGCTTAACCGACTGAGCCACCCAGGTGCCCGAATGTTTGGTGCATGGACTGATGAAAGGGTTATTATCTCATCCTCCAGCTTTGGGGGGTTACAAAACCAACTGCAATATGTATGTGTCTGATAAAGATGACTGAGCCATTTCTCAGGGGTGACTGTGCCTCTGGGTATTGCAGACAGAGAAGAGACAGAAGTGGAGAGTGAAAAATATTTTAGTTAAATACCAGGAAGAAGTTCTTGGCTATCAATTCAACATTTGTTAAGTGCTCATAAAATGTTTATAAAATGCTGGGGATTGGGAAATAAATGTAAAGGAGGCCCATTCATTGCCCTTGAAAAGTTCAAAGACCATCAAGAAGGAAACTAAGTAAATTCCAGCATGAAAAATCAGCGCTCCTCAAGGAATATTTATTCACTGCAACAAAAGTTTATCTCAGACCAACTGTCCACCAGGCATGAGCTTCTGAGACCCAGGGAATACTATGTTACCCTCGAAAAGCTAGTGCAATGAGAGACACAGTCAAATAATCATAATCCAGAGAGGTCGGTTCTTTCAAAGAGGTAAAAAACAGGAGCTTGGCAATGAAGGAGGTGGAGATTTGATTAATTATGCTAGATAAAAGGAACTTGCAATGGCCCATAGAAGGTTAATTTCTGGAGGTAACATCTATGATTGCTTAAGTGACCAACTTCTTTCATGTGTACTGTTGTTAGTAGTACTAATGTATTTTGTAATGGAATAATTGAGTCCCAAGCATGGAGAATACCAGACGGTCTCTCATCAAGAAAATCATGTGTAAAATCACTTTCTTAGTGAGGAAGAACAAAACTCAATAAAAAAATTCCAAAATTAGAAGGTCAAATTAGTCTTGACAGGAAAAGGCTCCTTGACAAGTGTGGGCGCTTGGCAGTTGGCCAACATCTAAACAGAATCAGGAGAGAATTATATTCTCAGCTCAGCTTCATGCTACTAAAACAGAATGGAGGACTTCCTCCCCACCTCTTGAGCCCACATCCACATGAGGCCTATGTTAATAGGCACACTAATAGCAGGAAATTACAAAAATATAGGATGGGAAAAAATCAGGGCTCTTAGAACCCAAACTAAACATGGATTTACGTGCCATTCTCGATTCTGGCTGTCTAGTGATTTTGACCATTCTTCGTATTTATTACTGGAGTGTTTACAGCTGGAAAAAGGTGGTACCAGATGGCCCTGCATTGACATAATCTGGCAACCAGCAGGATATTTACTAGAAATCCAGAAAACTATCATCTAGCTAACATCTGAGGAAGAGAAAGAGTATTTGGAGACAGTGGGGATGTCATGGCAAGATTTAAAAAAAAAAAAAATCTGTCTTGAATTATGGAGCCATGAATACACATGTTTTCATAGAACTAAAATGCAAATGTTAGTCAAATTCAGCAAAAGGTTAAAACTGCAGTGTAATCTGAGTTACTGTGAATCTTCAAACCTTTCAGATACTACAAGAAAATCTGAAAGAATAATGAAATCCTTTAAGAAATCCTCTTTTTTATAAAAAAAAAAAAAAAACCCAACATTTCAACACATACATCTCTTAGAAAGGGCAGCTTAAAATTCTTTGGGTCAGAATATCATTAAACAATATTAATTCTCAAAACACACATATTAAGGTACACGAACTTTATGGCAGAGAAAAGATAAACGTGGTGTGAAGACCTTTATCTGTGAAGGGCATGGGGAACATGGGTCTGTCCTCACTCACGAGAAAGCTGGGGACCTCTGCTCTGCCTGGGGGACCTCCCACCCTCATGACACCTGGAGGGATAAGGACATAGTGACTGGTGGCAAAGAGGAACCCCAGACCAGACACTTGTCCTTGGGAGGATAAATGATCACCACATCCCTCTATTTGTCTCACAGTCATGAACAAATAAATTAAAACAAACAAATTCAAGTTTTGTTATTTTTTTTAAACACCTCTATTGTAAAAAAAGGGTTGGACCATATAGCACGATGATGACAGTTAATACTGTACTGTGTATTTGAAAGCTGCTAAGAGTAGATCTCAAAAGTTCTCATCACAGGGTAAAAGAAATTGGAACTGTGTGTTGACAGATGTTAACTAGACTTATGGTGGTGATCATTACACAGTATGTAGGTATCAAATCATTATGTTGTACACCTGAAACTAATATAATGTTGTATGTCAATTATATCTCAACAAAAAACAAATTTTAAAAAGTTATACCTATGGAGCACATGATAAATGATTAATACTTTTAGTATGTAGGGAACATATATAAATTAAGAAAGAAGAGGGGCGCCTGGGTGGCTCAGTCGTTAAGCGTCTGCCTTCGGCTCAGGTCATGATCCCAAGGTCCTGGGATCGAGCCCCGCATCGGGCTCCCTGCTCCGCAGGAAGCCTGCTTCTCCCTCTCCCACTCCCCCTGCTTGTGTTCCCTCTATCGCTGTGTCTCTCTCTGTCAAATAAGTAAAATTTTTAAAAAATAAAAATAAAAAAATAATAATAAATTAAGAAAGAAGATTAACATGGCAAATAGAGAGGTAACAAAGGATGGAAACTAGCAACTTCCTCCAAAAGAAAGACAAATGACTAAGAAATGGGAGGGTGTCGGGGGTGAGGGTGGGGAGAGAATTCACCTAAGCAATAAGTGAAGAAACTAAAATTAAAATATCAGAACACTTTGAGGCTTAGTCGGTTAACCGTCTGACTCTTGGTTTCAGCTCAGGTCACGAACTCATGGGTTGTGAGATCGAGCCTCACATTGGGCTCCCCATTCAGCAGGAAGTCTACTTAAAGATTCTCTCCCTCTGGTCCTCTCCCCACTCATGCCTTCTCTCTCTCTAAAATAAATAAATAAATCTTTTTAAAAAAATCAGAACACTTTTGCTTATATGCTTGATAAACAATGAAAAAGGAGAATAACATCTGAGGGTGGTGGGAATGTGGAGATTTGTACAAACAACTTGGAGGACAACATGACAATAAATATGAAAAGAAACCTTTAAAAAAATGCATGACCTTTTTGATTTAGCAATGTAGTACTTAGAGAAATTTATCCTAAATAAGAAAGTAACAAATGAGCAATAATTGCATACAGAAGTCATGTTAGCATTTTTTGCATTACTGAAGAATTAGAAACCACACAAATGTACCATAACAGGCCATTTAAATCAATTACGGGGCTTGTTCCACAAGCCGGAACAGCATGCAGCCACTGGGAGTAATCACGTGTTTGTGGTCATAAAGGATCACAATATACAACGCAGGGGGTAAAGTTTATGAAATGGCAAAGCATCTTGTAATACCATCTATGCATGTGTGTCTGGACGTGGGCATACAGAGAAAGTACAGACAGACAGAAACCCTGTGGAAGGATGGGTGCCAGGCTGTCAGCAGGGGTGGTCTCCTAACGGTGTGGTTCTGGCACAACGAGTTAACTGTGGCTTCTTATTTATGCTTTTCAGTGTCTTCTAAATCTTTACCATAAATATACGATGCATTGAGAATCACCAGAAAAAGGTTTCTATAAAACTGATTTGCTAGAGTAGGGGAGTGGTAACATCACCGGACGACACTTAGCTTTAAGATCTGTGGACGGATTCCGGCACATGGACAAAAAACACCGACTCCCGGGCAAATTTGCCCCTTTGAACAGTCCCTAGAAGGCCTAAACCTAAATGTCTGCACATAAAATCATGGGACTTACAGAAATAACCCCAATTTCAAACCACTCTTAGGGTAATTGTATGGTGGGAATAAAGCGGGATTGGATGGCTATGGCCTCACTGAGGGACCGCTTTGCTTGTGCACCTGCTCACCCGTGACACACGCAGTAGGGACCCGCAACGTGCCAGGTGCCAGGGACACAGCGACAACTGAGGCACAGCCCTTACCATCCAGAAGCTCCCAGGCTAGGACACAATCAACACACAATGGGAAACACGCTAAAACAGAGGAATTTGCAAAGTGCAAGAGAACAGAGAGAAAGAAGCATCGACTTGTGCAGGGTGGGGTGAGAGAGGGCTTCAAGGAGGAAGGGGGACAGGAGTTCAGTCTCACAGCAGGGGCAGGAATTCACCAGGTCTGGGGGAGGGGCACAGGTTGTCCCAGGACGAAGTAAAAGCACACACATGGCAGAGCAAGATGATGATGGTGACGGTCGTGAGGCCTCTGGGCCCCAAAGTGCACTATTTGTGTATTAACTCACTTTGTCTCACCACCTCTGATGAGCTAAATACTCCTTTTTTTTTTCTTCTAAAGATTTTATTTGAGAGAGAGAGAGAGCATGAGCAGGGGAGGAGCAGAGGGAGAATGATAAGGAGACTCCGTGCTGAGTGTGGATCCCGACGAGGGGCTTGATCCTACAACCCATGAGATCATGACCTGAGCCAAAATCAAGAGTCAGATGCCAAACCGATGGAGCCACCCAGGCGCCCCGAGGTAGTCAGTTAATTCCATCTGACATATGATGTAAGTGAGGAACCAAGACCTAATAAAGGCATGCTCATATTCAGTGAAAAAAATCAGGACTCAATCCTAGGCAGTCCGCTTGAGAACAGACACTCAGGCCCTCAAACACGACAGTGGTCCAGGCACCGTGCCAGTGCTGGAGAGATAGAGATGAGAGAGGCAAGGACAGCCCCCCTCCAGGATGGAAACGGTATTTATACAGTAGCATTAGATCCATAAGTAATAATGTGATCAAGAACTAACACAGAGGAAAGAGTGCTCGATTCTACTGAGGTCTCAGGAATAGGGAAGATGTCTCAGAAGAGCCAATCACAAATGAGTTTTTTTTTTTTTTAAGACTTTATTCATTTATTTGAGAGCGCGCACGCGCAGAAGCAGGGGAGAGGGGCAGAGGGAGAAGCAGACACCCTGCTGAGCAGGGAGCCCGATGCGGGGTGCGATCCCAGAACCCTGGGATCATGACCTGAGCCGAAGACAGACACTTAACTGACTGAGCCACCCAGGTGCCCCACAAATGAGTGTTTTATAAAATAAACTGAAGCTCTCCAAGAATATATATAAGGGGAGATGTGAGATAATAGAAAATATATATATATATATTGGTCTCTGCTTCCCATTCCTAGCACAGAGTTCTCTAAACCCTTGTAATTTCTGAAGTAATAACAGCACTGGGGACATCTTTTGTTCTAATGAGGTGACTCTAGGTGGGCTCCTGGATGGGGCTGGTCACCAGAGAGACCAAGCCGTGATTAGAAGCTTGAAATCTTCAGCTCCCTCCCACCCCCGTCCTCCAGGAAGAGGAGAAGGGCTGGAGACTGAGTTAATAATTGATCATGCCTATGTGAGAAGCCTCCATAAACTCCCAATAGCACAGGTTTCAGGGAGTTTCCAGGCTGGCAAACGCAACCACACCAGGAGGGCGACGCACCCCAGCTCCACAGGGACAGGCGCTCCCGCGCTCAAGACCCTCCCACGCTTTGTCTTATGTATCTCTTCACCTGGCTGTTTATCTGTGCCGTTTATCATATCCTTTAACAAACTAGCAAACGTAAGTGTTTCCCTGAGTTCTGCGAGCTGCTCTAGCAAATTAACCAAACCCAAGGCGAGGTCTTTGGAACCTCCAACAACCTAGGCTTGCAACTGGAGTCTCAAGGAGGGTTGGGAGTAGTCTTGTGGGACTGAGCCTTTAACCTGTGGGATCTTACACTGTCTTCGGGTAGAGAGTGTCAGAATTTTGTGAAATTGTGGGACATCCAGCTGGTGTCACAGGGAACTGCCAGCAGTTCCCGCCACACATCTGGTGACCAAACGGGAAGTGTTTGGTGTGAGTAGTCAAGGAGACACGCACACAGGAAAGAGAAACACGAAGGAGGGGAAGAAGGCAGGTTTCACCCTACAGGATGAAAGAAAGACTTTCCAAACAGAATACAAAGGATGTACAAAGGCACAACGCACGCAGGGATATTTCAAGTGTTATAGGGGTGCTGATGTGAAAACACAATGACAGAATGGACAGGGTTTACTGAACAACCAAATACATGAGAGAAGGGTGAGTGGAGTCAGAAAAGACCCTGGGGAAGGAAAGGCAATTTCCAGAGCAGGATAGAGACTGGGCAGTTAGGTGCACCAGTTTTCTGTGCAGGAGACCATCCATGTGACAGCGTGTGTGATTACTGTAATACATATGCAGACACATAACTGAGTAATACTTCTAACTATTTAAGGTAGCATGGTGTAGCAGAAATATTACAGACATAAAGTAAATAACACATACTGTACCTTTAGGTGATAATGAGGTTTTAGATAAATTTAAATGCTTTAATCCCTTTGGGAGTTTGGCAAATTGAATACTTAAAGAGGACACACCTGAGAAAGGAAAAAAAAAAAGATTAGAATATTCAACTTCTCAGAATTGCATTTGTTTTATAATGCCTGAAAATTAACTTAAATTTGATTCCAACTTAAGTGATCATTTTTTTTCTAATGTCAGACTTTATTTTCTAATTATCTACCATCACACCTCCTTTTTTTCTGTCCTACCTAAAGGATAGGAGAAAAGAAAGATTGTTTAATTAAGCATAACAATATAAAAACTTTACCATTAGAGATGTTTTTCTTTGGACTTAAGTGTTACCCTCTCCTCTATAGTCCTATTTCAAATGCAAATACTCTTAGGAAGAGTGAAATAATTGCTTCTTTTTAACCTGTGTCTTAATGAGTTCATCACTCTTCTGGGTGAGCAGATGCATGCTACTTAATTATTGTCAAGAAAACGGTATAATGTTAACTCTTCAGATAACAGCTTCGCTTTTAGCACATGGATTCCAATACTTAATTAGCTTATGGCTAACAACCTCAGACAAAGCATCAGAGCGTGTTTAACTTCTGAAAGGTAGGTTTTGTAACTTGAAAAATCACAGTATTGAAAACCAGAGAGTCTCTAAATTTAATGACCAGACTGGGAGACTGTGAACACCAGCTTACTCACTCAAGGATTGCAACGAGTGTAGACTGTTCACTGGGAGAAATAAGTAATACATGAATGTACGCTCTTCCTATAGGTCATTCAACCAACTTCCTGCTACATGTGAGTTATCACCTTCCCAGGGGCATGTTCCTGGGAAGGTTCCTGAAACAATATTAACCATATGGTCTCCTAGACTGATTCTCAAACTCCATGCACTGATACGGAACTACCATGCTGGTTGCTGCCCTATTATATAACCCCACATTCCCTACACATTTTATCAAAGTTCATCAAGAAATACCTAGTGTAGTAGTTAGAGTAGAGGTAGAGCACTAAACCTCTAGTTGGGTGTCTCCCCAAGGATGGTGGGGGTTCTGAGAACCCCTATTTACCTCCTCATATCATTTCCCAAATAAGTTTGAAAATCGCTGGATTAAATGATGTCAAACAGGTTTGTTTATGTGAATATTTCTAGAGATGTGAATATGCAAATCTGTATCATTAATTACAAAGAGGGGCAGGCCTGATATTTAGTTGACAGATTCTTGTAAAAGAATGTATAACTAGTAAGTTAATGGGGACACAGGGAAAAGGGTGTCATTTTAGAAATGTAATTAATCCAAAAGGCAGAAAAGGAGGAAAAAAGAACAAAGAAAAAATGAGGAAAAAAGAAAACAGACACATAGTAGATTGCCATAAAAATAAATCAATAATTACAATAACAGACTTGTACCTCTGGAACAAATAATATGTTATATGTTAAAAGAAAAAAAGAAAGATAGTAGGAAAGGAAAAATGAAGGGGGGGGAATCGGAGGGGGAGACGAACCATGAGAGACGATGGACTCTGAGAAACAAACTGAGGGTTCTAGAGGGGAGGGGGGTGGGGGGATGGGTTAGCCTGGTGATGGGTATTAAAGAGGGCACGTTCTGCATGGAGCACTGGGTGTTATACGCAAACAATGAATCATGGAACACTACATCAAAAACGAGCGATGTACTGTATGGTGATTAACATAATAAAATTTAAAAAATTAATAAATCCTGATAATTTTGAAAAAATGTAAATGTACTAACTAAATACTCAAAACAAGTCAAAAATGGATTATCTAAACAAAATTATCAGGTGCTTTCAAGAAACAGTTAGAAATACATGTATTCAGAAGTGAACCTAAAAGCATGTAAAAAGATATATGCTGCAAACACTAACCAAAAGAAAATTAGTATATCTGCAATAATATAAGACAAGTTAGATTTTAAGAGACAAAGAGATAAGTGAGACATTTCATTAATGAAGAAGATGTAATGATTTTAAATCTGTATGGTCTGAATAACAATCTCAAAATGTATAAAGTAAATCTAATGGTAACAAAGGGAAAATACATACATTATTATATACATTATATATGTGTGTGTGTGTGTGTGTGTGCTACCTCGCAACAGTGGGAGATTTTTAAACACATCTCTATCAGATGATAAAACAGACAAAAAAGGGCATAAAGACACTGATGATATCAAGAACACAATAAAAAAAATGTTTGATATATTTGAAACACTGTACGTAATAACTGAAGAACATATGTCTTCAAAGTACACGTGGAGCCTTTATTTACCAAAAGTGACAATAGGCTGAGCCGAAAAGCAAGTCTCAACAAGTAATATAGAGGATGTTCCTTAACTGCTGTGAAATTACACAAAGCATATTCTCCAATTGCTACCACTATATGCAATTAATATAGGAATTGTAGCAAAAAGAGAATTTGAAAATCCCCAAATCATTAGAACATAAGCAATGTATTTCCAAATAACAAATGAGCTCCCCCAAAAGAAAAATCACAATGGAAATCTTTAAAATATTTTTATTTAAATTTTATTTTTTATTGATTTTTTTTTAAAAGATTTTACTTATTTATTTGTCAGAGAGAGAGAGAGCACAAGCAGGGGGAGCAGCAGAGGGAGAAGCAGGCTCCCCACTGAACAGGGAGCCCGATGTGGGGCTCGATCCCGGGACCCTGAGATCATGATCTGAGCCGAAGGCAGACGCTTAACCGACTGAGCCACCCAGGCGTCCAAAAAATACTATTTAAGTTTTTTAAAACTATGATATCAACATTTTAGGGATACAATTAGAGCCATGCTTAGAGTGAAATCTATAGTCCTAAATACTTATGTTAATCGAAAAAAGCTGGAAACTAATTATCTAAGTATCCATCTCAAGATATCTGAAAGAAAAGCAGCAAATTAATCCCCACTCCATCCGCATAAACAAGAGAGGGAAAAAAAGATAACAAAGGGAAGAAATCTATTAAATAGAAAGCATCCAATAAATAAGTAAATTTAACAAATCCTGTTCTTCAAAAACACTAATAACATTAATAAGCCCCAGCAACGCTGTTTAAAAAAAAAGAAAGAAAAAAAGGAGAGAGAGAAAGAGAAGGAACAAATTATCAAAATCAGAAATGGAAAAAAAATACTAGTAGAGCTCCTACAGACATTGCAGATATAACCAAGGGGTATTAAAAACTTTTTTTCTGTAGGTCAAAATGCATCATTTTCGAAGAAATGGACAGATTTCCTTATGAAAAATACAATTTACCAAAACTCACATAAGAATAGATAATCTCAACAGTCTTCTATCTATTCAAGAAAATAAACCCATTATTAAAAACCTCTCCACAAGGAAAAGCAAAAGTTGCCAAATATAAAAGAGTATACACTATATAATGCTATTATTTATGAAGTTCAAGAATAAATAAAGCTAACCTATCATAACAGAAGTCAGAATAGTAATTATGTTTTCTGGGTGGTAGAGGGCAAGGGTGAAAATCACTAGAGCAAAACATTAGGGACGATTGTAAAGCGCTGATAACATTCTTGTCTCCAGCTCGGTAGTGATTTCGATGAGTGTTCACTTGGTAAAACTCCAATAAGATGTAAACTTGGTATTTGTGAAGTTTTCTGAACGTACATTATACTTCAATGAAAAATTTTACTTCTAAAAATTTAGGCATGGGAGATAATAGAGGAGAAAAATGGAGACGGCCATGAGTATGGTGATGCCTTTTTAGACAGAACACCAAAGGCACGATCCATGAAAGACGTAACTGATAAGCTGGACTTCATTAAAGTTAAAATGTTCTGTTCTACACAACGCAATGTCAAGAGAATGAGAAGGCAAGCCACGGACTGGGAGGAAATGTTTGCAAGGACTGATACTCAAAATATACAAAGAACTCTTAAAATTCAACAATAAACAAGCCAATTGAAAAGGAGCCAAAGACCTTAACAAAACTCTCAGCGAAGAAAATACACAGATGGCAAATAAACATATGAAAAAATGCTCCACACCCTATGTCCTCAAGCAAATGCAAATTATGTAACAATAAGATACCACTACCCACCTATGAGAATGGCCAAAATCTAGAACAGGGGCAACATCCAAACGGTGGCAAGGAACTCTCACAACAGGACCTCTCATTCATGGCTGGTGGGAATGCAAAGTAGCACAGCCACTTTGGAAGACAGTCTGGTGGCTTCTTACAAAAGTTAACATACATTAACATGTGATCCGGCAATTACACTCCTTGGTACTTATCCAAGGGAGTTAAAAACTATATGAAATTCTTGAAAAGTCAAAACTATGGAGACAGCAGAAAGATCAGTGATTGCCAGGGTTGGAGGATGAGGGAGTCGGGAGCGGAAGAGGGATGAATAGGCAGAGGACAATTTTTAGGACAGTGAAAATCCCCTATGATACTAAAAGGGTGCTTATGTGTCACTGCGCATTTGTCCAGACCTGTAGAATGTACACCAAGAGTGAATCCTAATGAAAACTATGGACTTGGGGTGATGATGAGGTGTCAGTGTAGGTTCATCAACGGTCATAAATGTACCACTCGGGTGGGGGTCACTGATAGTGAGGAAGGCTGTACCTCGGTGGGGGCAGGAAGGATACGGGAAATCTCTTTATCTTCCTCTCAATTTTGCTATGAACCTAGAACTGCTTTAAAAAAAAAATAAATCTTTTTCAAAACTTCGGTATGGAATTGGGAAGGATACCAGATTGTCGCTTTTAAGTTTTGATGAGTTATCACTGCCTACTCTGGACCAATTCTTTTATATCGTGTTTTTCCTAGCAAAGCATATGTTATGACAATGTTTAAAAAAAAAAAAAATCCCCAAACCGATATCCCATGTCTTCAAATTATGCTGAAAATCTGTTAGATCAAAGTTAAAACCTACCACTCAACCTCAAATTTGTTGTGCTCAGATTGACTTGAGTTGTTTAGCTTTGTTGAGAAAATGACAATTTTTACATTTTCACTAATTTCTTTTGTGTCAGACATACCTGTTACATACACCACATAAAACCATAAATGCCTGTAACCAGATGTAAGGCT